ACAAGCATGATTGCGTGGTTCATGCAGAGTTGATGCCTCGTGATAATAGGTACCGTGTCTATTTGGTGTTTGAACATCTTAACACCTCGTATATTCTTGCCAGAATGGGTAAAGCCTCTTCTTTTTTCATCATCTAGATGCTGGCAAAAAAGGGTCCCGTAGATATCGAACTTGTCTGACCACATGATACAACTCTAGTGCGCTGAATGAATGTCTGACCCGAGTTAGGTTCCAGCTCACAGCCAACCAACCGATCCTGGGCCTCCCCTAGGTCGACTCATCCACGAATGAATACCTGGTGCTGTGTGTAAACATTTCCACTGGGGAGATAAAAGCGGCCAGGCGTGGTGCTGGCCACCCTTGACCTCGTGTGCCACAGTGCCGGCCTTCACAGTGCTCGCAGGGGCGCAACTATGGGGAGGAGGGGGGGGGGTTATGGGGCAGCATTATGCGACGCATCGGGACCCAGTCGGCCACAAGGGAGGACCCCCGAATCAACAGGTTAACAAGTGCAGTGTTTAACATGGAGGCACAAACTCTGGACTGGGAGGCAACACTTTCATTTAACAACTTCCCTAGCGGGTAACAATGAACGTAACTCAGGTTCTATAGTCGGTAATGTGGCTAACTATGTGAGTAGCGCGTTAACTCGAGACGAAGACCCGGAGACGACGAGACGCGGGACCCAGGCTTGACTCCACAGACGAGCCCAGAACACGCCTGGGACTGCCCCGTGATGCTCCTGGGCGTGGCCTCGCTCCGCCTTCGGCCACGCCCCCTTTCTAGACCTTTCCCGAAGGATCTCGACCGAGCATCACGTGCCCCACTCAGGCTACCATGTCCTCACTTGCCCTCTCTCTCTCAGGCCATCACCGGGACTATGCCCCCTAGGGCTGGCTGACATGCCGTACTTACTCCGGTGCTAGAGAGAGGCTCCGGATGCACAGTTGCACCACTTTAACAGTAGCTGGCGCGAACACCCTAGTGGCACCATTTACGCCACTACACAAGTAACAAAATCTTGACTTAAAGCTTTCATGACTCTTCCTGATGACGAACGCTTGTGTTGCGATCTAAACGTCGTAATTTTTTGTTATTTTATTTGAACCTATCTACGTGACTTTACCGAAATACCCAAAGAATAAGTAACAAAAGGTAAATAAAAAAAAATGATTCAAAATAACATGGGGTCAACCATGGACCAAGCCCGACTAATGCATCTGACTATAGAATCAATAGAGCAGTGTAAAGTTGCGTGGTCCACCCCCTTTGTGGTAATCCTAGAGCGGTGGGGCCGCATGTAAGCAAGACGCATTGATAACTTAATTGTGAGTAGCATTGTACCTTTACATATTTTTATTAATACTGTCACTGTGAGACTATGTTCCTCTAAACCAATACACGGTGCAACTAAAATAATAAATATAGCTATAGCCTACATACTATTGTATACGTCGTAGCAATTTCAGTAGAAGTGAGCCGGGAGAAAGGAGGGGGGCCCACAGTCGGATCTTGCATCGTCCCCTCCATTAAAATTGGTCGTTGTGCCCCTGGTTGCTCGCTAACAGCACTTGCCCCAAAGAGGCTGTATCGTAGAGAAATGAAAGTGCGTCAGTTTGCTCTGAGCCCATGCTCCGTTCCATGAAAGCGCGCGCTGTGGCCGGAGACATGCCAATGGGGTGACCTTGCACAGTCGAGGCCATGAACCGCACCGGTATCGCCACGCTCTGCGCTCGCGATGAAATGCAACGTGTGAGCGTGGATCGTGCGAATCTAAATTCCTACCAGAGGCTCGGGAGAGGTGAGCTTATTTGAGCAAAAAAAATAATAAATCACGTTGACCTTTTTTTACTTTGTCAACAGCACTGGTGCCGCCGCCGCTCGTCTTTGGTGGCGGTGAGTGTGCTTGTTTGAAGACAGGTGTTGGGTTTTACAGTGGCCTGTGTGTGTGCGCGCCCGTGCGGTGGTCCGGTCACGATTGACCGCGAGCTTTCGCCGTCCTTTTCCGACCGCTAAATGCCAGAGGTCAGCCGTAGCCAGGGCAACAGCGCTCACACGCAATAGCATCTTTCAACGCTGTCACATCTCTCAACCGGTCCGGTGCTCAGCCCGCAGAATCTGTCAACCGCGCGTACGCGACTCAATTATGGTACTGACCCCCCCCCCTCCCCACACTTTCCCAACTAACTTTGCCTTTCTCCATCCAGCACTGTAGGATACACAAATAGAGGTTGCAGAATGTGCAACTTGCTATACTACACTTCTCAGAAATCATATTGGTCTGCATCGCACTCGTTTTGTCTGTGTCAATCTGGTTTCACTTCTAATTCGGAAGGGAGGCAGGGGGGAGAGGAGCGGTGGCACAGTAGTTAGCATGCAGCACCATGAATCAGGCCACCTCAGTTCGATTCTTGGGCCACGGCTGCTAGCGCGAGTGCCGAGTAACAACATCTGACCTGATCCTTCTCTCCTCTCCTCTTGCACTTCACCAACACACCCTGGTCAACGCGCCGTGGGGAGGAGTAGGCCTTCATCCAGCAGTGGATTGACAGATAGGTGTGCAATGGTAACACTATTATTGTTTTTAAATCGATTCTAAACCTTTTTATCATTCAGAACTGGATGTTCCAGTATATATGTCCCTAGGCTCCGGGTCTTAATATTCGTTCCACAGACGCAGGGTAGTAATAGGCTTAGCCTACTCCTGGTCCCTCAAGTTTCTTGTCCCGTTTCACGGATCAATCCTCAACTCCCCACTTCTAATCATGCACTCTCGGTCCATCCATGATTTTAGTTTTTTTTAATGACGTCCGTAGACATTCACTTGAAGAGTACACTGGCTTCATTGGTGTAAGTGCAATTTCATTCAGTGCTGAGTGTTAAATGCAATCTACTTATGCTCGATAGCTGAGTTTCTTAACAGTTGTATTAGAGTTTGTGTGTGTGCATGTGTTTTAGATTATGGGGAGCGGTAGTGTAGCGGTTAGCATGCTGCGGTGCGAACCCAGCGACCCGAGTTCGATTTCTGATCACGGCCAACCAGTAACGATTATCTGAACTAGCCCTGGCCTCCCCTATGTCGACTCAGCCACTGGGCAGACAAATGCGATAGATCGGTAGTGGAGCTGGCCACCCACCCCCTCGTGTGCCTTGTCAGTCTTCATAGGTGCTACTCGCTATAATCGCTTGCCCCAAGTCTGTTGAGGCTAAAGCGGGGGATCTTTGTCCTTCCTTTAGAGTATACGATGTCTCGTGACGACAACTCGTTGTGAAAGGCGCGATCATCATCAGCCATGATCATCACTCCGCTAGCAGCGAATGGAGTGCGATTGTAGCCATGCAACTCAAAGCTATGGACGACATCGTCACACCACTTTGGTCTGTCTCTTTCATCGGAGGAGGAATTTCACAACGACACAAACTCTCTCTCTCTGCTGAAGCCCTGTCCTCGTGACCAGGAGCAGACCTCGACATTGGTCTTCGACTCCTGAACTAAACTAAACAATGTTTTATCTTACCAGGTAAGGCCCACTGAGCTATTAGCGTCTTTTGTCAGAAGCGACCTGGCTATCACAAATGATGGCTCAACGAAGTGGATATACACGCAGCAGCCAAATACTCTAAGCCAGGGGTGTCCAAACTTTTTGCAAAGAGGGCCACATTTGATAAAGTGAAGATGCCCGGGGGCCAATAGATAATTTTGACATTGTTTTAACCACAAAAGTTACATGGAAATACACACTGTTATAAAAATAATTTCATTGTCACAATTACCTTTATTTTTCAAATGACAATGTAACCAAATATAAGCCACTCAGGCAAACGTGAACAACTCTAAAAACGCAATTTTGCCTTTCATTCAGTCAGATAACATTGAACAAACTGTATAGAATACCTTAAATTTTCATGAGTTTTATGATGTATTTATTCTGACGGAGCTAGCGAGCCATAAATAACACATTATAAGACCGAAGCTGCGGGCCGTATGAAATCTGACCGCGGGCCATCTAGGCCCGCGGGCCGGACTTTGGACATGCCTGCTCTAAGCAATCCCAGAGGCACGCGATTCCACTTTCGTTGTCAATGTCCAACGTTTACGATCCATGTCAGAGCACAAAACAACCACTCGCGTCGTTGTGCAGAACATGAGTAACAAAACACGGTAGACAAAGAGAACATACGCGCCCTCATATATCTGTCTGGTAACTGGTTATTTCCTCTTCGTGTGGTAACCATGGCTACTTAACTTCCACATGGTAGCTATGGTTATCGCGCCTTCACCTAATAACCATGGTTACCTCGCCTTCACCTGGTAACCATTATTTAACCTTCACCTGGCAATAATGGTGACTTAACGTTCACCCGGTAACAAAGGTGACCTCGCCTTCACCTGGTAACCACGGTTACTTAACCATCACCTGGTAACCACGGTTACTTAACCATCACCTGATAACCACGGTTACTCAACCTTTACCTTGTAACCACGGTTATTTAACAATCACATGGTAACCACGGTTATTTAACAATCACCTGGTAACCTAGGTTACTCAACCTTTATCTGGTAACCACGGTGCCTCTACCATCACCTGGTAACCACGGTTACTTAACCATCACCTGGTAACCACGGTTACTTAACCATCACCTGGTAACCACGGTTACTCAACCTTTAACTGGTAACCACGGTTACTCAACCATCCCTGGTAACCACGGTTATTCAACCATCACCTGGTAACCACGGTTACTCAACCATCACCTGGTAACCACGGTTACTCAACCATCACCTGGTAACCACGATTCCTCAACCATCACCTGGTAACCACGGTTACTCAACCATCACCTGGTAACCATGGTTACTCAACCATCACCTGGTAACCACGGTTACTCAACCATCATCTGGTAACCACGATTCCTCAACCATCACCTGGTAACCACGGTTACTCAACCATCACCTGGTAACCACGGTTACTCAACCATCACCTGGTAACCATGGTTACTCAACCATCACCTGGTAACCACGGTCACCTCACCTGCAGGCCCCGCATCACGCGAGCTCGCGCGTCACTTCCTGCCCGACGTCACTTTCTGCCCGACGTCACTTCCTACAGTCGCTCGCGTGCAGCAGCAGCAGCAGCGAGCATGGCCGACATCAGTGGTGGTGAGTGACCGCGCGCCTCTGCCGTGCTCTCTCCACTGCTGCTGGTTGTTGTGGTGGTTGTTGTTGTGGTGGTGGTTGTTGTTGTGGTTGTTGTGGCTGGGACTTGGCACGCGGCGGCGGCTGCTGGAGTCTCGGCCGAGGAGGAGTTTGAGAGGGGGGGGGGGATCGTGGCGACGGTAGCAGGTTCGGCTTCGCCCTTGACCTGGGCCATTGCCTGTGAGGAAGTGATGAGTGCCCACGTGTGTCTGTGTGTGTGTACACAGTACATACGGCCCTGTGTGTACACGCGTGTATGTGTGTACATACGGCCCTGTGTGTACACGCGTGTGTTTACATACAACCCTGTGTGTACACGCGTGTGTGTGTGTACATAAGGCCCTGTGTGTACACGCGTGTATGTGTGTACATACGGCCCTGTGTGTACACGCGTGTGTGTTTACATACAACCCTGTGTGTACACGCGTGTGTGTGTGTACATACGGCCCTGTGTGTACACGCGTGTGTTTACATACAACCCTGTGTGTACACGCGTGTATGTGTGTACATACGGCCCTGTGTGTACACGCGTGTGTGTTTACATACAACCCTGTGTGTACACGCGTGTATGTGTGTACATACGGCCCTGTGTGTACACGCGTGTGTTTACATACAACCCTGTGTGTACACGCGTGTGTGTGTGTACATACGGCCCTGTGTGTACACGCGTGTGTGTTTACATACAACCCTGTGTGTACACGCATGTGTGTGTGTACATACGACCCTCTATGTATATACGTGTGCACATACGACCCTGTGTTTATATTTGGCCCGTGGGGAGCGGCTGTGTAGTGGTTAGCGCGCTGTACTATAAATCCCGAGTTCGATTCTCGCTCACGGCCAACGCCAGTGTTTACATGTTGCTACTTCGTATGTACGTGTGTTTACACGTGTGTTCACACGTGTGTTTGCATGTGTACATTGGACCCTGTGTGTACGCTTCGTGTTATGTCATTTTGTAGTTTCACTTGTGTGTGTGCTCACGGCTAGCACCAGTAACGATTATCTAAATCTGGTGTGGGCCTCACCTAGCTCGACTCAGCCTCAATTGAGTACCTCGTGCGATGTGTAAACATCGCCACTGGGGAGACAAAGGCGGCCGGGCGTGGTGTTGGCCACCCACCCCCTCGTGTCCCGTTCAGGCCTTATAGGTGCTCGCTAACTGCACTTGCTCCAACAGTTTGTTAATGCTGCACGGCGGGTCTTTGTTGAGTGAGACCATACTGCCTTTACGTGTAGTGATTAGTACCTGATGGGATCTGAGTTCAGCCCCATAATCTTGGTCATCATTCTTCCTCAAGGGTTGGTAAAATGAGTACAGTGTCACCTTTTCATGAAATTAGTCAAACGCGATTGCTACCTTATTGATAATGCAGGCACTGCCATATTAACGTGGAATTTTCACCACTGGCCCAGTAGATGTCCTCAACACCACACACAACAGCAATCCTTATTGGAGCTAGTAATGACACGTACGCCTTTAGTGGTGTCAGGCAAATTTCATGTTGCTACTGCCCAGAAAGTGGACTGACCTAAACACTTAGCATCTTTGCATCAGTACCATGTGTGTGTGAGATTCATGTGTTCCTCTTTTAGTCTCGGTGTAATTCTTAGCACATGCTTCGCCCATGCTTCCCTGCGCATTTTCAGATTTTATTCCATTTTCTTTGTCAATGCCAGCTTTTTTTGTGACCACTGTCAAAGTGGGTAATATAGCTCTTCCGGTACACACTTATTCAAGTCATGTATGTGTGTATGCTGAACTTCATTCGCACCGTACGTAACCAACCTTACTAATCAGAGGTGCAGAGGAAGGACAATAAACTAAACACAATAAGGAGTTCTAAAGTATCAGTCTGTATGATTTAAAAGTGCATAGCTCCAGTGGCTTCCTAATTTCGGAAGAGAGAATGTTGCTGACGGCCGCAGAAGCGCAACTGAAAGCACGCGATGCGGTGACCCTCTTTGTTCAATGGCTAGCCAAAAGCCGCCGCTGCTGCTGCGAGGATGATGGTTCATTACTCCTAGACGAGATCAGCCAAGGTATCTTGGCTGATTTGTTGCCCAGCGCTTTGTGCACCAGTGTGATCACAGACCGACGGCTACTGGCCGTGTTGAACACCCGTCCTTGGCTTTCAGATCGGCCCCTGCGCCACGTGGAGAAGGACGTTCTCATTCCCAAGAAGATGCGGGAGAAGGGGCAGGTCTTGTGCTCCGAGCACGTGGATGGTACCGCAGTTTCACATATTTTCATTTATCATAGTTACCGATTCACGTTCATCCCAAGTTGTCTCTTTTAGATTCTGCTTGCACTGTGAAGGATATTCTCGTTATGGTTCTGCCTACAATACAAGTCCCGTGTATAATGGCACATTGGGCATCGTTATGTCTAAGGTTCATGTCCACTTTATTCAGTCAGAGCCACTAGGGGCGACACAATCCACGCCCCACCCGCCTCCTCCCCCCACCGTCATATTTTTTTTACCAAGGGTAAGGCCCCACTGAGCTATGTAGCTCTTTTGCAGATTTGACCATCACATGCTGGAGATTCATTGCAGTAGCCAAATACTATAGACGCATGTTGATTCTAAATGTGGAGGGAAAAACTGGATGACCTGGAGAAAAATCTACGCAGGAGCCTGTGGCGTCACCAGATGAAACTGCTAAAAACTCTCTTGAACAATAAAAAAAAAATTACTGAGTTATATAAGCGCGTTTTCAGAAGAGACCTGGTTACAAATGATAGCTCAACAAAGTGGTTTATCACGTGCAAATGTATAGCAACCAAATATTTTAAACTCGTGGTGTTGACTCTCAATTTGTAGAGAAAAACTGGAGGACCTGGAGAAAAATCTACGCAATTGCTGAGAGAGAGAGAAAACTCTAAATATACAGCAGGCGTCAGGGTTGGGATCGAACCCATGACCTGTATACCAGGCGAGGTCGTTAACATCTCCAAGCTACAGTGGCGCCCTTCCTCTTAACATGGCGAATGGTAGCGCCTCTAGTGGCTGCAGGGGCAGCATGACCCTATGACACATACACATTTAAAAACGTTAGTTTGTAAATGCGCGGTTTGATTCAAGTATTGTGAAAGCAAAATAAAATGAATTCATGCCTCATTCAATTCCTTAGTTACACGCACACACACACCTCTGCTGGAGGTTTGTTTACGCGTTGCGCTTGGACTGTTTCACACCCATGCAACACGTGTTCACCGTGTATGTACGAATGTTGGCCTTCTTTTGCACCGTACGTAACTTACTGCGCTAATCGGAGGTGCGGTGTATGCCTGTATGTTAAACTCATTTCATACCGTACGTAGCCGACTATGCTAATCGGAGGTGTGATGTATGTTGAACTTCATTTGCACCATATGTAGCCAACCGTATGTAGAGCAGCCCATTAGTGTTGCTGTGTGTGTGTGTGCGGTTGCTGTGTGTGTGCGGTTGCTGTGTGTGCGTGTACATTGCTCTGTATGTGTGCGTTGCTGTGTATCTGTGTGCGTTGGTGTGTGCGTTGCTGTGAATGTGTGTGGATTGCTGTGTGTGTGTGCGGCAGCTTTCAGCGAGTGCTGCAAGTCCAGCAGCGTGTTCATGGTGTTCAAGTGCCGCAAGGAGAACGCCGCGCTGAAGACGTGTCTCACTGGATAGTAAGTCCCCCTGGCTAGTAAGTCCCACTGGTTTAGTAGGTTTCACCGATTAGTACGTCTCACCAGTTAGTAAGTCCCACCGGCCAGTCAGTCTCACCCGTTAGTAGGTCCCACCGTACCTGCTCTGCACCGCTCGACGTTTCGATTTTATTTCCCCCGACACGGTGACATTGAGTAATGCGTGGCATTGTTACGTCACGAAACCTTTCGGAATCGTCACTCATTTTTTATATTCATGTTTTCTTTCACACGATGAGCTAAGATATTTCTAATGATGATGCTCTGGGATCCTAGCTCAACTCGGCGATGCAGGAACTACATAGATATAGGCATTAGCTCGCGTATGTAACACTGAAACCAGAGATGGGATGTATCTAGGCGAAAATATACAAATGTAAAGTTATGCAATAAATCTATTGTACAACAGCAATAACTAGTGGCTAAGTCAATAACTGTATCAAATGGACGCGCGTAGGAAGGTGTTATCGTGTTATTGTCGTGTCAACGCGCGCGCACGTGTTTGTGTGTGTCCTTGCCCTCAGCTATACGGACCCGGAGTTCTACGACATGTGCAAGCGCGAGTACCTGCAGGAGAAGGAAGACTTCCAGATAAGGGGGATTCCTTTGAAACTGCGGAAGCAGCAGCAAGCGGCGGCCGCCGCAGCTGAAGCGGATGGGAAGCAAGAAGCGGGACATTGACATCACCCCTCCGCTCGCAGAGAGCGCCCCCCCCCCCCCCCCCCCGTCTCATGTCTGGCGATTACTTTTAAAAAGGATACATTTGAAAATGTAAATGTGTCACTTCCAAGGATAGAAAAAACAGATTCTGTGGTATCAGCTAACTGAAATGTCTTGAGGGAAAACTGTCGATAACTCTGTAAATGTGCCTTTTGGAATGCCAAGTGTTTTATTTTTCATGATTCACAAGGAGCCACGTTGACTGTGATAGGCGATTCCTAACCACCACGGCCACTCGCTCCCTTAATTGACGAAATGAGTGACGGCGTCGCAAGTGAATTGGACATCCCACGCTCGAATTCATTCTTCCCTGAGGAAGAAATGTCAGTCTTGTCTCAGCAGCAGAAAAAAAATAAAAGTCGTAAAATACGGTATTGCAGAAGGTTTCCAGAGAAATTGATGTTCTAACAAGGCAGATACGCGACTGCCATCGTGAAGAAACACCCTGTAACAGACATAAGACGTGCAAAATATGTTCGACCTTTGTGTATTATGAGCATTCGGTTTATACATAAGGGGTTAAACGTATGTACAAGTATATATATAAATATGTATTCCTATGTTTGTGGTGATGCACTTTTATACGTTTACGCCCAATAACACTGCATCTTAAACTCGTCCGTGGCATTCGGATAAACCAAAGCACCCGAACTCCACATTGAGAAGTTAGCGGCCTACTTTCTGTCCTGCCACCTACAGGATTCCCTTTCCCCCCGCCAGGTGTATTGTATGTACAGTCGATCATCGATTATCCGTCAACTTCGGAGGGGGGGTGAGGGGGCACCGGATCTTTTAAAACGCTGGATAATCTCTAATTATCAATATTAATAAGTATATTTGCACATTCTTGCATGACATGTTTTTTAGGTGTTGTTATATGCTTGTGTTTTTAATTTGTTTAATATGTGAAATTGGCATAAATATACAAATATCCTACTTAAAGTTATTGTATTTACTGTACCGTGCTTACCACTCAAATCTCGAAGACTGCATGGGGCGATGTATATACATGCAGTATTCTCATTGTTTAAGTTGTACGTAGTGTATAATGTACTGTATTTATTTATTTAACAGTGAAATCAAGCGTAGCTACTTTTTTGTCGTGCACATGGTGCCGATCAGTGGACTGGTTACAGCCTTTGGATTGGTTTTGCCGGATCAGCCTGGGACCGCCGGATAATGTTGGAAGCCGGATAATCGTGCACCGGATAACCGATGATCAACTGTAGTATTAGCTTTGTAAAAGTCCGCATACTCTTTAAAGCTGCTGGATTAAAGGTTCCCTGCCATCAGAAGCAAAAATTAGACCAACATTCCAGGATGTCAACAGATGTGAAAAAAGGTACCAGCCTGAGTTGAGACCCGTGCCTAGAAAAGACAGCCACAAAATGAACAACATCAGACTTACCCTGCAGGCCGCTCCAACCAAACCAGCTGTGCCCGGTGGATATATTTTTAGCCTCGCATCTTCCCCATGGCTGAATGCGTCTTACCTGCTCAAACCAGCCTGCGTCAGGGAATGCCAGCCAGTCGGTGATCCAGACACGCATTCAATTTGGACTCAACTCCAGAGGCAAGCTGGTCTGTTATCAGACAGGGGTTGGCATCCCAATGGAAACATTTTTCCAAAAACAAAAGGAAAACATGTAACAAAAAAGTAAAAACTATTGCAAAGTTATTTTAAAAACCCTCCAAAAAAGTGAGGAGTGGTTAATTAAAGTACCTTACGCTTTAGAATCCATTAGAATTGAATGGATGCTTCAGAATCCCCGAGCAGTTGCCACGTGGCACGCTCTCGTGGCGTGATCACCTAGCGAGTTCCTGCACGCCGAGCCGGGTGTCGTCGCTTTGTCGCCACGGCGTTCTTCTCGGGAGAGTTTCCCTCCTTCGGGGTGCTGCTCTGTCTTGAGCCTGTACCTACCGGCCATCGTTCCATTCTCGCGAGGTTCCACGGTGAGTATTGTAGTCTTATATAATGTGTATACATTTCCAAAGAATTTCATCATCGCGATGCATGGGCAGATAGCCCCGTGAGTTGTCCACTGCACGTTTCGTCATTTGTTTCCACTTTCGTGTCCTGTGCCAATGTGCTCAAGTAGTGGCCACATTTCTGGCACCAGTCTTATGTCGTCGTGAAGCCATTCTCTGAAAATTGTTTACCCTTTTTGGCAATAAAACAGGAGGTGTGAAGATGTTCAAACACCAAATAGAAACCTGCAAGGCATCAAGTCTGCATTAACCACAGTACTTGTGGTGAACATGCAAGCAATTATGCTCTTATGAGATATATGCGTTGTTTTTGAAGCTAATTGGCCTACGCCAGACAGAGCCTTCTTAATGGCCTAGTCTCACCAGTGTCAGACCAGAAAGGGTGAAACCTATTATTTTTCATACATTAATAGTGTCAGCGGAGTGGGAGACGAGGTTTTTCACGAGCACCTTTATTAACGCCTTCAAGTTCACAGGTTCGCCCTCGCACACTCCCTAGTCTAGCCTTAATAACACCGATGGCGCCGACCGAGACAGCCAACAACTATCCAGCCGCGCAATATCTGGCGAAGACGGCGGCGACGAAGGCAGCGAAGACGATAAGACGAGTCCACTCCCAGAACCAGCAGCCACGAGCTCCCGCTCTCAGCTGCTTTTATGCTCCCCGGCGCCACCTGGCTCCGCTCTGGCCGCGCCTCCCTTCTCAAACCCACTAGCTGGTTCCAGGGGCTTCCAGATGGGGTCTTCCATGACCCTTGCCCAAATTCCTCCGCCCTGCCGACACCGTGTTGATGCTCACCGGCGTGTGTACTGCTCGTCCACCGCAGTTTCAACTTTCCTCTAAAACCAGAATTGTATGCCCCCCCCCCCCCCCCCAATTCTAGTGAACAGCTGCCGATTCGACTTCGCTGATTTGCTACTTTAATAGCGAAGTATTTTACACTTCAATAAACACCCCTGTGTTAGAGACGGCACAAGAAGAAAAAGCCTACGTTGTGCAGAAACGCCTGAACGGCTTCGGTCATCTTCCTCTCTTTCTGGTTTCTTCGATTTTTCATGATCACACACTTTTAATTTTCCTGTTGTCCATCCTTCCTTTGTCCAAATAGTGCCAGCTTCCTCATCACTGCCTGCATCATCAGGTTGTCTTCTTCTCTGTGCAAGTATTTCTTCTACGTTGGTCACTCTTTAGGTCCAGCTTCAAGCGTTTCACCATTACCGAATCTGTAATGAGTGGAGTGCAACCGTCAGTTTAATAATGCTCAGTAGCAAGATTGTAAATAGAAAAAGATATCTTTATTTTCTAATTTAACATGCAGAATTCACTCAACTGTACAATATATAGAATCGATCACGTAGAAGTGATTACGGCAAACCTGTTTATTCATTTACCAATTTAAGCCCGCGACTTTTGTCAAATACAAAAAAACATCATTCCTGCGAACAGCTTTGCATTTCACATCTGCCACATTAACAGCCAAGCACAAGCCAACCAATTCGGATCGCCCCCCTCTAGGAGATTCGCAAATCGGCAACGCCGCAGCCACTGCCGCCACACCACAGGGGCCACGTGGGGTAGCGTGCGTGCTCACCCAGTGTGTTTGTGTGTACGACCCACATGCACAGCAGCAAGCTCAACCGCTGTGGAGCAATCACATCGGACACCTCTTTGAAAGAGTTGTAGGTCTCGCGGTGTTTTTGTGTTTAAATTTATGTCCTTCCCCCACCCTCCCGGCACCTCAGATTAGCACGGTTGACTACGTACGGCGCGAAAGAAGTTCAACATACAGTATATAACAGGTCGTCTCTCATACTTGTCGTCTTTAGAACCCGCAGTCTCTAGGCTGTCAAGATTCTATGTTGAGCACCACGTGTGCAGTTCGTTGTAATTGACTTTTCAACTCCGTCACGTTTCCCCCGCAGTGTAACCGGTGCCCAAACACGTTTACATCAACAGACCAAGACCAACATCGAGGCATCAACATCGTCAGCATGAAAGCTGCGTGGGGGGAGGGGATTGAGCTCTGATATAGAACAGAGTAATCAATCTTGATTTGAAGCTTGATGAGTAATCGCAGCAAACAATACGCAGCCTGTTCCTGACCAATCTACTGTTTTCTGTATACGCACCTGTGCACGAAGTGTATCATATATTGACTTAAAGCTTTCGTGACTGCAGGAATTCATATTCCTTTGGGTCTTCAGATGAAAAAAGCTCTTTTTTCACCTGAAGACGATTGCTTGTGTTGCAATCAAAACGTCGTGATACAATTATTATATTTTTTTTCTATCTACGTGGCTTTATCGAAATACCCAAATAATATTTATAATTATAGCTAGCGGCCAGGAAAGAATACAGTTTCCATTCCCTGCAGGTGCATTCAATTGCCCGTACGAATTTCAGAACGCTCCATAATTGTGACATTTCCCCCATGCACTTTCAATTTACGCCACTGCTGCTTCCCTTCCCAAGACGATACGCCGGGCTCGTTCAGCAAAGCGCCCAGCGGGGGGGCTATGGGACCCGTGGTGATGCCACCTCGGGCCCAATTTACCCAACAACGGATGTTTGGGAACTTGTGCGCATAATTTGGGAGGTGGGACCTGAGCCCGAACCTGCGGACCACAACAACGCCCCGCGCGTCTGTTGTGATAATTTGCAAGCACGGCGTTCCAATTGTGCATGGCTTTGCGAGGCCTCCCGGAATCCAACATCGATTTGGAAATAATCAACATTTCTGTTCTTGCCGGACAATATACGCACCGGCTCTGGCTCAAGGGAACAAATAAATTGCGATTTTGCAACTTGACAATAGAATTTGCAGTGCACAACACCCTGAATGTCAACCTGTCGCGCCAAGCAACAGATTTGCTGCTTTACACCGGCAACCTTCGCAGGACCGCCCGACCTCGAGACCGCGTCTGCTCAGTGGTTGTCACCCCCTACATTAATTAAGGATCCTATGTGGACATTGCATCCAATAGCAGGTAAATTGGGCACGCCACAAAGCCCTGCTGCAGTTCGCAACACGTCGGAGGATGTCACTCGTCCAGCTCGAGAGACCCACAGCAGCCCAGAGGGCGAGGAGCGTGACTCAGTAATAGCAGCCCTCCTATCCAGAGCCTGGTAGGGAGGAGGCCTTACCGGAATTAATATAAAAACCTGGCACCAAACGAAGGAATGTATTCATATCAATTTACTCCTCTCGCTTCCCCTCTTGCGCACACACGGAATACTGCTTGAGAAAAAACCCATCGACTTTCCTTACTGAAGAGGGCATCTCTTTTTGTCTTGGTCTAATTGTGGACACGGCGGTTGCTAAAACGTTTCTAGAATAGGGCATCGAAATAAACGCGCGCTAACGCGACTACAGTATTGCGATAGCGATGGAAACTAACGCAGGGAAATGGACCAGGACGGACGATGTCTTAAACATTTCACCATCCACCTTGTACAATGTATACGTATCTAACACACTCATGCATATATACTTGACTGTGCCACCGTCCCGCACTTGCATTGTGTCATCATTTAGGGGTCTGCGACCTATTGATGCTGAAGCCCCACAACCTGTATGTGTGTACATGTTTAATGCTTACTATACACACACTGCTGTCAACGAGGGTCATAAAATCCCAGGCACACTGAAGATGATGTTATTGTTGCCGAGTTCGCATGCGGCCTTCTCGTGCACATAGAAAACACACAGGTTCACAACACACGGAGTTTCCCCTAAAATGAAGTTAATTACAGTAAAGGCGTATTGGATATTAATTAGGCAAGTGCTCCTACACACGCGGTGAGATTCCTCATCACGTGAACAAGAGGAACTGCGGTGTTCCGTGACGATATCAACCTAACCACCGAAGCCGTTCAGGCGTTTCTGCACAACGTAGGCTTTTTCTTCTTGTGCCGTCTCAATAACACAGGGGTGTTTATTGAAGCGTAAAAGACTTCGCTATCAAAGTGGCAAATCGGCGAAGTCGAATCAGCAGCTGTTCACTAGAATTGGGGGGGGCACCATACAATTCTGTTTTTAGAGGAAAGTTGAAACCTTAAAAAAAGTCTGATGCCTACACCACTGGGTCCATTTCACACGCACCGACGGCTTAACGCCATGTCAACTTTGCCACGTGAACGCCAATGTCATTGTTCGAAGCATATATATAAAAAGTTGCATGTGTAGTTCCTTAGCGGAGTAAATTGCGCAAACGATTTAACTACCTCGCCTGGTATGCAGGAGGTCGAGGGTTCAATCCCGACCCTGACGCCTGTTGTATATTTGGAGTCTGCGCGTCTCTCCCCATGGTTTTTCCCTCCACATTTCGAATCAACATCATCACGCGTTTAGAGTGTTTGGCTGCTGTAACTTTCCACGTCATGATGACAAGCCACTTTGTTCGGCTATACATTTGTGATCGCCAGGTCACATCTGAAAAAGGGACAGCTCAGTGGGCCTTTACCTGGTAATATGAAATAGTAAATTAAAATGAATAGGGTGCCAATAGATTTTAATATTATACTTAATATAATATCAACAAAGAGCCTCTATCATATAAGTGGTGTAGTCGACTGTCAGGAAGGGACGGAGGTGAACTCAAGAGACGTGGACAAGAGCCTCCTTTTACGCGCGGCAGTTACCGCGACACAAACCGTGGCGACGAATACCTTCGCGCGTGCACGGAAAAGCGACGACGAAACGCTCGTGCGTGCGATAAGCCAAATTGAAGTGTGACACATGCGGTGAAGTGAGCCCAAGTGCTGCACGGAAACAGCGTTACGTTGTAAGACCTAGTTATTACACAAGCATGGGACGGGGGTTGTGAACAGCGGTAATACTGCAACAAGCCTACGGGCGCTTTGATCTTGTCGAGGCTGCACGAGCAAACCGCGCACGCACGTTTACCGACATGGTTCGATGGAAACGCAGACTTGAAAAGCACAACGATGAAAAAAACCCAACAGTGGGAACGCGGACGCCCCTCAAAGGGTGATTTGCTTTAACACGTGAGCCACTGAAATCCCTGCGTCTACTGTCGGGGCCGCTGGGCCCCAGCACGCAAAAGGGGGGAGAGCGCAAACATAATAAAAAAAACTTAAATAACCCCCCAGAAAATGCCATCCACACAAACCGAAAGGCGGCGCTCTGTACACACACGAGACCATAACCGAGAAACTACGTTCGGTAATGAAGTCGTTGCTGAGGAGAACGTCATTCTCGAGTACTCCACAACTCATGCACAGTACGGAGGCCAAGTCAGAGTCCGGTATGTGAGCGCTGTGGACAGAGCGCAGAGCAGCAGAGCCATCCCCGATCGTGTCATCGTGAAATTTACCCAATGTCGTCGAGGGACGAATCATGCTTGTGGAGAAACCAGTGTTCAGCAGCGCAAGACGCACACACTTTTTGATATGCAACATATACACACACACACACATACAGTTAAGGCATACCATTACAATTTATATATATTGCATAAACAAAAACAACGTTCCTTGCAGTAACATGACAATTTTTTTTACTTTTTATTTTTTCAGGTAGAAAATAAACAATTACACTTTGCCTTTTTCAATTATTCAATACTAACGGTTGTCAGTAGAATTACGTGGCAACAATAAAATCACGGGTCATTAGATAAGCAACCAACAATGGTGGACCAGTGAAAGGATGATTTCTTGACAAAGTTTAGACCTGCACAGAGGGCAGTGGTGTATAAGCCTCAAGTTTCAACAGATGCAACTTTCCCAAAATAAAAAAAATTGCCGCCATCTTCAAATCGGGCACAAACACCGTGTGTTTAAATGCCGCAACTTTTGTCGATTTGTTCCGTGAAAAACAAGTTGCAAACGCGACTGCCGATTGCAATCAGCGCGAGCATTGGAAGGCGCGAGACCCCCCACCCCCAACACCGTGGGCCTCCCCCCCCCCCCCCTGGTTTGGCTGCTCGGTCCCGAGCGCTCACACGACCCCAGGGAGAGATCCAGGAACTGGTGCCTGCTTCGGGTCTTGTTCACCAATCATGAAGGGGAGTGATATTTACCCTTATCAAGACGGATTACTCTGGAATTCTTATTAACACCTATGCCGTCAAAACTCAAAACATTCAGCCTTGCATTGTGTTCTCATTCCCATGATGAATTTTGACGTCGTCCAGCCAACTGCAGCTCAGTTGATATCATAGAACGACATTTTAAAAGATTCTGAAATGCCACAAAAAACTATTTGCGAGTAATGCGGACGAATAAAAACACAAATTTGGCTCAGCAACATGAATGCGGGGTAGTATCACCGTTTGACTTGAGATTCACCTTGGGAAATATTTTCACTTGAATATTTTAAACTGCTGACCAGTGAAGTGACGTGGGACACGCTTCCTGAAGTCGACCACTTCGAACAAGCGTGGACCCGCATTAATTAATAATTCGTGTAATATGCAACGCATGTATGTGTGTATGAAAGTGTCCAATGTAGGTAGGCAATACTAAAACAATGTTATGTTGAGTATCTGTGTTTGTCATGTTTAATAATATTAACCTAAAGCGAAGATGAAGCGGTACAACATTCCTGGGCATAGGTCGACGTTGTGAAACACTCCGATATGGAAGTGAAAACTGTCGATTTAAATTTGCAACATAGTTGCTAATAACCGGGTCAGTCACAGCCCATATCTGTGACCATTAATGCAGCAGCAACTCGGGGAAGAAGGCCTAACGGCAGACACCACCACCCTGCCTGCCCTTCTTTCCTGGATGACCCAGCTCAAGGAGATCACTTGAACATGGAAAAGAATATAGAAGGGCATGGCAAAGTGCCTGCTCAGGACTTGAGAGAAAAATGTATAAAGAATTTTTGAGAAATTAAAAATGAGAAAATACACGTGAAGCAACTCAGACGAGAGACTTGCCACGTTCACTTTTTAGCTTTCAGATTACCACGACAACCCCCCGTGACTCGATCCATCGCATCAGAGCACGAGTGAAAACGAAGTGGGACGAACGTTGTTCGACACGGCCCCACGCGACCAAGTACATCTGCGTCGTAACCGCCGACCAACAACGCAAAAACTAATAAGCCAGAATAAAGCTAATCCCAAGTAAGTTGCACCGTTTATAACTTCACTTCAAGTAATCAAAGGTTTGTGTGCATGTCCGCATGTCGAGTGCGTACGCAAGCACCGCGTACACTGGTAGCGCGCGTGTGCTCATGTACGTGCGGGTGAATATACGTGTGCGAGTGAATATACGTGCATGCATGCACGACTGCACATACGCTTTGTGTACCAGACAAAAAGGGCCAGCCGCTCGTCAAAGTTTGTGGGCATTCTCCGGCACAGCTCTTGACAGCAACCCGGCGCACCCCCCCCCTGCCCCGCAGGCGCCAGCGGTGGATGGGACCCCTCACGTCGACACTCGCGCACGCACCGTGGGGCGACTTCTGCCGTCGAAGCACCACAGCCACTCCTCACCGCCCCGCTCCAATCCCCAGTCCCCCTCCCCCACTCGCTCCCTCGCTCCTCCCATCGCCGAGCCCGGGTCTCGGATGCAGCTTGCGCGCTCCAACTGCCGCAGCCGCCACCGTTGCCACCATCACCGCCGTCACCTCAGTTGCGCCTCGAGGGCTCCGTGAGACTGGGCACCGCCAGCCTCTCCCACCATGCGGCAAGTTCACACGTTACTCCTTTCTTTCAGCCTGTCCTTCCTGCTCACCTAAACAAGTGGGGATGGGGGGATGGGGGGGGATTGGGAGAGGCAACAAAGCACACGAGGGGGCAACAATGCGGTTGGATTTTGCAGCGCGCTGTGCGACGTGCGAATGAGAGCCAGGTGAAAAAGCTTGGGCTGCGAACGATCGACACTCGCCTCATCTACCTCGGCAGCCCAATATACGCAACCCATTTTGTTGTTGTCGTTATGTTTCATCGTCAAAGTGGTCACTGTGCTCAGTGGGCTTACAATGGGAGAGAGAAAAAAAAATCTCGAGATTTCTATGGCGGGGAACGGATTGCCCAAAGATGCAACCACCTTCGACTTCCCATCACGTATCACGTGTGGTGGGGCCTCACCAAGCGCTGCTCGTACAAGACCCGGAGGAAATCTGACAAAAGGAGGCATCGAAGGAGCTCCGGTTTATTTTCCATGCCTAAGCCTTGTGAACTCCGAATGACTGTTACGAAACAAAGCCAGGGTTGGAATACTCGTCATATATAGAGCAGAGCATCCATTTGACCTGCAATATAAACCTAGCCTGAGATCCCACATTTTTAATTTGTCTAAATTTAGTGCGGATATGTGTAAGTGACGCATGTAACGTTGAGGGCCCCTTTATAAAGCCATCGCTTGGGCGAAGACCTCCCCATGGCATGTGGACATGGAAGGAATTCGGCAACACATCACCACACACCGCACACAATCGTCACTTGCTTCCTCCTCTCCTTGGCCGATCTTATTTTCGCTGCTTTGCACGGATCACCCCTCATCCGGAATGGATACCCGAGGGTCTGAGCAGGACAGGGCTCCACTCCGTACGAAGTGTGTGGAGAGCGCCACAGTGGTGAGATGTTATCTCCCTCGCCCGGTATGCAGGAGGTCGTGGGTTCGATGCAGACCCTGACAGCGCCTGTATATTTGGAGTTTGCGCGTCTGTCTCCGTGGTCGTGTGAATTTCTTTCCGGGTCCTCTGGTTTTTCCCCTTCACATTTGGATTCAACGTGCGTTTACGAGCATTTGGCCCCTATACATTTCCACACGTGATGAGCCACTTCGTCGAGCTATCCTTTGTGGCCAGATGGCTGCTGAAAAACAGCTCAGTGGGCCTTACTTGGGTAAAATAAAAAAGATTAGAATCGTTTTTACCTCAGGCGGGGGCTTCACAGAGACGGGCTGGGAGGGTCGGCGAGGCGGCGACGGCTTGGGCTGCGCCTGCTGCTGCGCCGTATTGTAGTACGTCACTCCGCCATAAACCTGAGATTGCGCCTTCAAACACAACAGCGGGAGTGGGCGCGCGAGTGGGCCGCGCGAGCGGCAAGGGGGCGCACGTTAAAGACAGCCCAGACAAAACCACTCGCAACGCGCGCACGCAACACGACGGACGCCCCGGCGCACCGCACACGTACAAAGGTGGCAGCTGGCAGGGTGGAATGGGAAGCGATCAAGCAAGGGAAGGAGAAAATAAAGATATCGAGGGCAGACCACGAAAGCAAGGTTGATAATTAATTTCTCAGAGACTTGGGCGGGTCACGTGGGACTCAAATCCAACTGTCGTTCCTTTAATTTCAGTAAAAGTGAAATATTTGAACGGCAAGGCCTCGCTTAACGCGTGTTCACACAACGCGTCTGTGCTAGAACGCGGTTCTTCTCTTACAGAACGCTTTTCACACAACGCGGAACGTGCCCAGTTATAAGGCAGTTGCCGAGCGGTCGACGACGAACTACTTTCTTGTGCTGCTTGCGGCTGACCGGTACGGGAATTCTGGGTACACACGCGGAGTGATACGGTACATGGGGGCATACCCTCATCTCACTTGTTTGGCCCGCAATGGGATGACTGATTTTATTTCTTTGGTTTAACATGCAGGCTTTCGCGACCCAACAAGTAATGGGTACCCATTGTAATTTATATGAATTCATTAATCCCCCCACTTCGCACGTGAAGGGCTCACAAGTGAAGTCATCACATCTATCCCTCTATTTAAGGAACGAAACAAGAGGATTTCTCCACAAATCTGGCTGTCCGCGTGATGATGCTAGTTGTAATAACTGGCGAAACGTCACTCAGATTGTAAATCTTGTGGATTTGCTCTCCAACACACCGGTGTGCTGTACTAGTAACGAATTGGCATGTTCTGTTTACGTGACAAACCTTACGAATTGGCTGTTGGGTGGTGGTGGGTTTAACAAAACATTTATATTTACGCGATCTAACCCAAAACAACCTATATTATGCATTGTATTTATTCATAATGTATATACAGTAATTCCTTGCTTAACACATTCTCGCTTAACACGGCACTTTTCATAAACGCATCTACTGCGTTAAAATGAGTCACTGTAATCAGCATGTTAAAGGAAAGTGTCAAGTTGTTTGCATTGTTTTTTTCTCTCTTCTTTAGTTCCCTCCCATCGTCTTGAAGAGAACATGGTGGTGGAATTAGATCCCTTCATTTGCACACCCCGTCTTGCGCGCCTTTCTGATTTCTAATTTAAAATGTTCCCCCCTCTGTTCTCTAACTGGGTATTTGGCAAACGGTCCCAATGCCAAAAAATAACCTGAATGTGACTTAATTGGGATTACACACACCGTAACATACATCTCCTACTGACATAAACTTGGCAGGACCCTCATGTAAACATCGTCTTGGGATTCAGTCAGATTTTCCTGGACAAACAATCTCAGTATGCGGTATTCCCTCGTTATTCACGAACTTATCCATGATTTTGGCTATCCACGAATCGACACGGCTGCTGCATCGAGAGAGAAAGTGATGAGATAAAGTGATGAGATAAGGTGATGAGAGATAAAGGTAAGTTAATTTATAAACTTATTTACTACTTTAATATTCATTTTTATTCATGTTTATCATAACCAATTCAAAAATGTTGGTATAATTGTTATATAATTATAATTGTTACGTATTTACTATTTTCTTAAAAATATATATCCACAAAATTTGCTATTCACGAGCATCTCCGGAACAAATCCCTCGTGAAAGACGAGAGAATACTGTATTCAATAATTCCACTTCCACCTCTTGCACCAGCTTCATCATTTCCTTTACCCGTCGCTCTTTCCGTTCAACATCATTCCTCACCGCGACAAGCCGGCACACTACCACGGTCGGTAAACTTTCCGGATCCATTCTACACATGAGTCCAAACCGCATACTAGCGGTGTTTAAACACCCGGACAGCCGCATCGATGACAACAATGTCTACGTGAACTTATTTTGCACCGTACGTAGCCAACGGTGCTCATCAGAGGTGCAGGGCAACGACAACAAATTAAACACAAAAAGCAGTTCTAATGAAATGAGCTTTCAATCTAAATGATGATTTTAAAGTGCATAGCTCCAGTGGCTTCCGAATATCGGAAGAGCATTCCAGACGGCCGCAGAAGCGCATCTGAAAGCGCGATGCGGTGACCGACTTTGTTCGATGGCTAGCCAAAACCCGCAGCTGCTGCGAGGATGACCGGAGTTCACATGATGACAGTTTATGCTCTTTGACGAGATCAGCAAGGTATCGTGATTCATTTGTGGCGAGCACTGTGTTTGTGTTGTGTCGCTCAAATTAATTTATTTTCACCACAATTTCCGCACAACGCTGTTGCGGCGCCGATAGTTATCTCAAGATTTATTTTCCGATATCCTTCGACCGTTTCGACAACCTCTCACCTGCGGTGGAGGGAAGATGTGTGCGGGCGGCGGCGGAGGCGGCGGTATGGGGGCAGGCGTGTAGGTGTAGCCGGGGTTGGGCAACGCCGCCCCCGGGTACATGATGTTGCTGGGGAAGTAACCGAGCATCTGGGCCGGCGGTGGTGGCTGGCCCGTCGCCATGGAGACGGGCGGCGCGTACATGTGGGTGGGCGACTGGTGCGGGTGCAGCCCTGAAAGCAGCGTGCGCACGGCCGAGCATGGACGACTTATTTTACACGGCACTCTCTCTCCGCGGCAGAGGGACATTTTGTTGGCGGGGCGATCACCACGGACGCCATCGAAAACCGTGGAGCTCAGAGGGTAATTGTAAGGCATGCAGCGGTATAAACCTCTCCCGTTCCGAGACAACTGCAAGTTGCAGGGTGTGAGTGTCCCTTTCAACGCTGAACCTCGGAACGCGTGAGCGGTTCTGCATTAATTTAAGTTAGAGGAGACGAAGTAGCATCGTTGTTTTAAAGATGTCGTACTTACTGCAGAGAAACGTAGAGACACGACCACCGTACTCTATAATAGCTGGCGCCAAAGTGTGCAACACGCCCTCCTGCATGGCATTGTGGGAGCCTCGGTACCGATAATGTATTTTTATTTTAGTTTCTCTTCAGATTCGGAACAACGAAAGGGTTAACACAGATTCTCAATTAAAATGTCTTACTTATTAAAGATCAATAACTACGCTCACAATACACGCATCACATCGTGATCATTGATTGTTTATCATTTACGCAGATTGGAAATTAACGCTAATATTAAATCCAGACCAATTAACAACGCAATAAAAAAACAAGAATCAATTCCAATCAGATTGCAATAAAAAACATGTATCTTTGAATGAAATCACAACCTCCAATTGTGACAATTCGTGACATTCCTGGGGTGACGTGTTACATGCCCAGCGACCGCAGAGCAACCAACATGAGACCAAACGCAAGAGGCCCAACCGAGGATCACGATTGGATTTTGCCTCCAGGCCTTTTTTGCGTGGGTTGTAAATTTGAGCTCACAGCACTGTACATCTTTACAAAAGGAGGTTACCCAGAGGTCAAATGAACACAGTCGCCAATGGAAACATAATGTTCAGATCACTGGTTCAATCTTCACACTCTCCAGGGCACATTTCATCCCCACCATCTCCCTAAGCACCAAGGTCTAATGAGTGATTATATTATTGTCATGCTCGTTACCAAGGAAAGCAGTGCAGACTCTTTTTAAGGAGGGTCATGCGACATTTTTCACAGTCGGGGAGTAAATGTTGCTGTGTGTAATTGAGTGATTTGCAGGTGATTTTATTACAATTGGGATGGTTTGGATACTATTGGTTACATATATGGAGGAATCCCGTACACAGAATAGGAGGGAGAACATCCAAGCTAAACGCAAAAAAGATGCCCGAGTCGGGAATTGAGCCCAGGCCCTTCTTGCGTTTGGAGGCACAAGCGTCACCGCTCTGCCACACCGTGTCACGCGAGTAAGGAGCGCCTTTCCGAGTTGGGAATCGAGTCGGCGTTCAGATAATTATTGGTCCAGATGCAGTTGTAAAAACAACGCTGGTTTTTGTTGTTGCTGTTGTAGTAATATTTGAAACTCTGCGGTTTCCCAAATTCGGGTACCGAGGCAGGACCACCGAGGTCGTACGTACGCATCTAGCGCCTTGCGGGAAGAGTGGGTGGAGGGGTTCCCGCGTGGTTCTAGAGTGGGGGGGTTCTAGCACGGTTCTGGAGTGGGTGGGGGGATTCCAGCACAGTACCCAACAGCGATTGGTTAACCGGCTTCCCCCCGTCCAGACAGTGTTGCACGAGTGTGTACTGCATTTTATTTGTTTTGCTTTTGCAGTTTCGGTGTCCCCACGTCGCTCATGCAAATAAAACGATCTAGGTCTCTTGAAATTATCACATCTGGGTTCAATTAATAAATGCGAAGGTACATAGACCCCCGGTGATTTCTAGCGTTGGCGTCTTAACGATTCCCCTCCGCGGCAATTGAGTCCTCGTTCAACTCAAGAATCCATTAGTTTATTTTCTCATTTTGCATCGTGTCTGGGTTCCCCCCCCCCTCATTCATATATGGTCATTATCTCCATGAGCCCTAAATATAACACGAAGAACGACACATTGCTGTACCTCATTTGTCTCGCCTAATTTGTATTTTTTGGTTCTTTCGGTAAAGTCATGTAGATAGAAAAATAAATAATATATCACGACGTTTCGATCGCTACACAAGCAATCGTCTTCAGGTGAAACAATACAGCAGGCAGACTGCTGAGGCAGGAAGAAATGTAGCGAGAAAGCTACTGAAGCCAAAGGTTATAAAGGTTTGAGGTGGGTACAACCCAAGGGTAAGTGGGCGGGGCTAGAGATGGAATTTTCAAGTAAATGTAAGATCGCAGAGCGAGGCGTACCTCGGTTAATCCGAGGGGGGGAGGGACGGGAGGGGCTGCCGTAACGGGCGAGAGGGTGGGGTGAACTTCAAAGATGGAACAAGGTGAGAGAGAGAAAAATAAAAGAAAAAGCTTCAAATCAAGATTAATTTGTATTGTCTCCATCCTATGTTCCATCTTGTTTGCTCTGCTTCGTTCACATCATTAGACTGTAATGTTTATTTTATTCGCATACTCCTTAACCAATTTTCAGACGTGCAATTTGACACAATTGCAGTGAGTGAAATAATGAATTAAAATGCAAGATTTTCTCAGATGCTTATGACCCCCCTTCCATCTTGCATAATACATGCATGTTGAACTTCTTTCGCACCATACGTAGCAAGGCGTGCTTAACTGAAAGTCTGGGCATGCAATTAAATTTAGGCGCTATACAATTCCAAGTTACATTATAAAATCTGCATCCTCACATGTGTAGTTTATAACAGGCGGAGGGGGAGAGGGTGGAGGGTGGTATGCACCACGGGCTCACCAGGGTGTGGGAGGTTCAGGTCGGGCTGCACCATCATGCCCTGGGGAGGGATGGCAGCCGGGCTGTCCCCACCGTGCCCGTACAGCGGAGCCTGGTATGCCGTGTCTGCGCACAGAAAACCGGGCCATCGCGCCACACACTTTTTAATTTCCAGCCACGTTCACTCTCGAGTGCTGGTTACGCCGACGCAATATGTGCGCGTTTACGTAACTTTGTTGTACGTATGTACAATTTATTTTCCACCGGTGCGTAGCCAACCGTGCTAATCGGAGGTGCGGGGAAAGGAAAAACTAAACACAGAAAGCAGTTCTAACGAAATTAGTTTCCAACCTAGACGATCTAAAATTGCATACCTAATGTCAGAAGAGCATTCTAGATGGCCGCAGAGGCGCATCTGAAAGCGTGCGATGCGGTGACCGTCTTTGTTCGATCGCTAGCCAAAAGCCGCTTCTGTGAGGACGACCGCAGTTTGCGTGATGGTTTATGCTCCTTAATGAGATCAGCAAGTTATCATGGTTCAATTGTGGCAAGCACTTTGTGTGCAATGAGTGCGACCTTATGACATATTCGTTCGGCAACCGGAAGCAAATGCAGCTCAATGAGCTCGACTGCGTTTTTACAAGGCATTAAAGTATCCACACCGCAATATTGAAAGCGTTTCTACAATTGTTGGGTGTGAGGCATCCGCAGAGCTTCACATTTTAAATGTAATGACGCATCAATTCCTCCATTAAACATTGCGACTTGTGCTCGCGATAAGTTAATTGAATCTTAAGCGCAATACTTGATTATTATGCAGTGGGCAAAGGGCTCTCAGTGACTCCTGCAAACAATAGAGGCGCTACATGCAACAACAATGTAACTTTTTAAAATCTTGAATCGAACCGTAACCCTAAATCATGACCATTCATGGAATTGTGAGCGCGATTGTTACATCAGTGACAACTTATAAGACACCGCACTGGAGCTGATATAACCTGCCAGAGCTGGAACATGCAATTGTTTATGTGAATGCAAGGATGATTAAATCATACATGACAGGGAGGTCAACTGGTGACTCGGGGAAATAATGGTTGCATCACCTCAGGCTATAATGGTGAAGTAATTAAATAACTATAACATTGTAGTGAATGCAGAACCTCTGTGGCCACAGAGGTTCATCATCATCATGTGCCATGGTCTATCCACTGCTTAATGGAGGTCCCCCAATGTCATCACCATCCTTCTCACGGTCTTTTGAAGCTACAATGAGTTGAGGTCCTGCGCATGGTCTGATCTCATTGCTCCACATCCATGCCGGTTATTCTCTCAGGGGAGTTCAATCGTTTGGCTTATGGCCGTCGCGTGAACCAATAACATACAAGCACTACATAACGCAAATAGAAAACAGTCAACCCTTGCATGCCCGATGCAATGTCTGTATCGTAGGCTTTAGAATCAATACTTTTTTTTAATACCAGCGAAGGCCCACTGAGCTATGTAGCTCGTTTTCAGAAGTGACCTGGCCACAAATGATAGTTCAACCAAGTGGCTTATCGTGTGGAAATTTATAGCAGCCAAATTATAAAAATGCATGTTTCTAAGTGTGGAGGAGAAAACCAGAATACCCGGAGAAAAATTCAAGTGGCCACGGGGAGAGAAAACATGCAAACTCCAAATATACAGGCGTCTGAGTTGGAATCAAACCTACGACCTCCTGTATACCAGGCAAGGTAGTTAACATCTTGCCACCGCGGCACCCCCGGTTATAGGGGCGGGTGTCTGGCATTCTGCTCGAGAGAGATGCGTTCCCAAACTTCAGATTAAACTCAAAAGTCAACGACAAATCGGACCTAGATATGACATTTCGGGCCATCTGAAAAGAAACATTCGTGACGGTTGAGAGGTTTAACTATACTGTAGTTGATTAATCGATGCATTGTTGCGTGCTCAGTGTGAGCACATCAAGGCAATCCAGATGATCATCAACAACAACACTGCCTGCACAGTGCATATCTGTGCGCGTTTGTGCGTACACGTGCATGCCTGTCTGCATGGGGAACGGCAGTGCAGCGGTTAGCGCACTGCGCTACGAACCCGGCGACCAAAGTTGGATTGCCAATACCAGCAACGGTTATCTGAACCGGTCATGGACCTCTCCGAGGTTGACTCAGCCTCAAATGAGTACCTGTTGCGGTATGTAAATATCCCCACTGGGGAGACAAAGGTGGCCAGGTATGGTGCTGGACACCCACGACTTCCTGGAACATGCTGGCCTACATAGGTGCTCACTAACAGCACTTGCCCCAACAGTCTGTTACGGCTACACGGGGATCTTTGTCTGTATCTACGTGTGTGCGTGCACAGTTGTGTGTATCTATGTGTGTGCGCACGATTATAACTTATTTCACACCATACGAAGCCAAACGTGTGTGCACAGTTGTGCGTCTCTACGTGCGCGTGTTTGCACGGTTGTGTGCATCCATGTGTGTGCGCGTGCGTTTCCGTGCACGGTTGTGTGTATCTATGCATGTGTGCGCATGGTTGTGCGTATCTACGTGCGTATCTATGTGCGTGCGAGTGCGTACGAGTGAGCTCACTTGGATCGTAGTAGGAGCCCTCGATGAGCGGAATGTGCATGGGGGGGGTGGGGTGCGGCTCAGGAACCGGCCGACTGCGCTGAGACGAGTAGCGCTTTGCCCGGCCGGCCTGGCCGCCCTACCGGGGAGGGGGGAGGAGTGAGCAGCAGCAGCGCGATGACGACATAGCTCAGCATGCACCTCTCTCTCTCTCTCTCGAGAGAGAGAGAGAGAGACCATCTTGCCGCACTCGGGGCTGACGCGACCTCACGGCGACAATGCTTTCCAACATCCCCCACACCACATTCGCAGCTGTCGCGGATGTCATCCAAAGCATTGACACGAGGCACGGGCAACGACGCACACGTGTGGCCAATGCCTACACAGTTGATTGGTCAGAACTGCTTTGATCTGCGCAGGTGGAGGTCACACATCATGTGGTTCTCATGGTAACGAAACTTCTCCTCGAGACTGCTCACACAAGTCACGGGGTATTCATTTAAGCTTTATTTAGCCAGGCAAGCATGGCATGCGTATTTCATATTTATATTTAAAAAGGATAAATTCTAAAATGAATTTATTTAAGACTTTTTTTTGTGGGTTTAACAACAAATTAATATTTACGCGATTGAACCCCAAAAAAATACTACCTCTATTATGGATATTTGTCGTGAGTTCGGATTTGAATGACTTCACATGGTCATGCGGTCGGATAAAGTGTGGAGTTTTTGAAGCTTCGTGACCATTTCAAGCGAAACGTTACGAATCACGTTTGTTTATTCGTTAAGAATGTTTTTTTGATTACTTTTCAATCTACGTGGCTTTACCGAAAGACCTAAAGAATATGAATTCCTGCAGTCATGAAAGCTTTAAGTCAAGAAGAATGTTTTTGTTTAACATTGCATTCAACGACGCGGCCACTAGTGGCTGCAGGATTCACGTGAACCCATTACAGTTTTGCGAGTATACCAAGTTGGAACACGTGGTGATGGGTAGAAAGCTTGCACTGCTTACCAGATCCTCGATTCGGTTGAACGGTGGAGGCACTGAATTGACAGGGAGATGCGTGGCACCACCTGAGTGAAACACGCGCCAATTGTTATACGTATGCCTCGCCATGAAATAACTGCCCAGGTTTCTCTGCTAAGAAAGTTGACTAATGTGAAATTACGCCAAACAATTTCAAACATTTGTGGGGGGATACTCGTGACTCCTAGAATCACATTAAACCAATAAAAATGTTTCAGTTTTGCTATTTGTAATTCACGGGCAAGAGGGGTATGGGGCGAAACCAGCGTAACATGCCTGCGCCGTTTCGACGGCGCGCGGGTGAGCCCGCGGCCGGATCCCCCCACTGACGTTATGCGTCACACTACCTCTGTGCTCGCGCTGCGTGGGAAGGTAGTGCGGCTGTGCCCCGGGGTTCCAGGTCTGGCCGAGGCTGATCTGCGCCATGCCGTGCTCCAGACGACCCACGGGCGAAGGCTCCAACACGGGCACGTCCCACAATGGCTGCGGCAGCAGCGCGGCGATCGGTCTCGTGCGCTCACCGAGCGGCTTTAGGGGTGGCGCCAGCGGTTGCTGATGCTGAAGCTGCTGCGGATTGTGCTGATGCGGTAGCGCGGTGGCCGCCTGCGTCTCGGGCAGCGCAACGAGGGGGACTGTGCTCGGTGCCAGCGCCGAAAGCGGCGCCGGCGAGATGGGGTCCGTCGTGGACGCCTGTCCCGGCAGCTCTGTGGGTTTGTTGCGCAAGCGGCGCACGCGCGAGTACGACTTCCGCTCCGGCGCCTTGTCCTGAGCCAGGTCCACCGCGAACGGCGCGTCCCCGGTTCCCGGCGCCACGGTCGCTGCGGCGGTAGCAGCAAAAGCGCACCTCGCTCCTACCTCCGCCTCCGTGCCCGCGGACAAAATCTCCGCCCGCTTCTCGCCCTCCTCCTCCGTGTTCCCGTTGTGCTGCTGGTGCCGCTGCTGGTTACGCTGCGGGGACGACCGAGTGCCGTCCCGCGCCGCCGGCGTCCCCGGGGGCTGATCCCTGCTCGAGTCTCCCTGTGTGTAGGCGCGGGCGCGCGGCTCCGTGTAGGCGCGCTGCTCCACGTAGGCGCGCTGCTCCACGTAGGCGCGGGGCCTGCCGGGCAGTGCCGCGGGACCGGCGGTGGTTGGGCCCGGCCTCCGCGGCGCCGGCCTCCGCTCCGTGTCCTTGTCCTCGTCGCGCAGACGTGCCGGCCGCTCGACGGGCTCCCGCTTAGGGGCCTGGTAAGGCCCGCGGTTCACGGGGGGACTCTCCCGGCTCCATCGATCGCTGGGGCTGCGGTATCTGCGTGGCACAAACATGCGACAGTCGTCAGCATCGCTCGCGGTGGCACGCCGAGTGAGCCATTGAGGGGCGCCATGGCCGTGGCGATCGGAGGTCAGCGCTCTGAACTGCCTCCGCTGAGAACCTGGGTTCGAATAAAGTGTCGAGGGTTGATGGGTCTTCGTCTGAACGCATACGACTTGGAAAACCTCGTCGCATCAAATTTTGCAAGATGGGGTCGTGCCCGAGGGAGTCGTGCCCGAGGGGGTCGTACCTGGGCCGGCGGAGAGGCCGGGCGTCATCGGCGTGAGCGCCCGAGCGGATGTCGTAGCCGTACAGCGCCACGAGCTCCTCGCGCGACTTGGGTGCCTGCTCGTCCTCGCGGAAGCGATCGTGCTCCCAGCGGCCCGCGTCCCGCCACAGCTTGCGGTTGTGCACCTTGGCCCTGCGCCGCCGCCGCCGTCAATTGAACACGTCAGATAAGAGCACGGCAAAGGGGGACTCTCGTTTTGCGACGGGAAGGACACGTAAGGTTCCCCGGTGTGGCTCAGGGGGGGGTCCCCACTAGATCACCACATGGCACTCACCTGGCATCCTCCTTGTTGTTGCCTCCTCGAATGTCGTGTTCGAAGAAGAGCCCTTTCCGCGGCACAAACGCCGGGTTCTTTTGGTCTTCCTCCTCCTCGTCCCGCTTGGAATTCTTGCCGCCTGCGATGGTGGGCGGGGCGTCATCCTCCTGTAATTAACACCGCGGGCGAGAGAGGAGCATTAAACGAGCAGCTATGTTAATGTGAGAGATTAGAATGTTAATGGCAGATCACAAAGCCGCAACCTCTAGGTCGGGGCGCGAACGTGGCTGTGTAAGTTTGAGAAATTTAACCCGTTAATGTAAAATCGGAGAGCCGAAAATAACAGCTAACATCGGAAGGTGGTAGGATGGGAACATCACAGCCAGTTATGACTTAAACTGGTTGATAACGTCCTTCAAATGATTGCTCAATTTATATACATTCTCTTGGTTGAAATTATGTCTGTGTCTGTATATGTGGATGGTTTAATGAACAAATCTTTGTTGATAGCCAGTGGGTTTGCAAAGTACCTTTGTCTTAGAGAAATCAATTTTGCGTGAGCCCACCACATTAAAACAATGATCAGCCACGGCCGAGGTATTGGTTCTACCGTGTTTCAGATCTGCCTTATGTTCACGAACACGGTCGGAGACATGTCACTTAGTTTTCCCATTGTAACTACTGCCGCAGACACAGCTTAGTTTGTAGACGCCGGGATATTGCATGTCAGGGATCACATCCTTCACAGATGGGATCAGATCAGAAATGTTATGTACTGTGTTAAATCGAACCTGGATCTTTGTTTGCTCATGATTTTGGAAATATTTTTGGTGACCCCTGCTATGTTTGGCAAGGTGATGGTTTTGATTGGGTCCTCAGATGGTTCTTTCCTAACAGTTGGGGTGACAGCTTTACAGATTGTGTAGTCTGAATATACATTCATCTTGAGGGCTTGGTGTATGTGTTCCAGTTCACTGACTAGGTGATGATGGTCGGAAATACATCGAGCTCGATGGTGTAGAGTTTTGATGAGGGAATTCTTCTGGGATGGATGGTGGTGGGAGTCAGGTTTTAGATAGGAATCCGTATGGGTGGCTTTCCTGCAGATAGTGTCCCATTGAGCCATCTGGTCTCTCTTTCAAATTCACCATTGAGGTGGAAAAGGATAGCAAGCTACCATACTTAGATGTTTTAATCGAAAAGAGACCAGATGGGGCTCAATGGGACACTCTTGCCTTTAGAAGCTAACCCCCTTTCCCTGATGACGACCGCTTGAGTTGCGATGGAAACGTCATCGTTTTTTGTTATTTTCTTTGAACCTATCTACGTGACTTTAACGAAATACCCAAAAAATATAAAGGACCCAAAGCACAATGTCACGGCGAGCTTTGCGGTTGGGGGCGTTTATCAAAAAACCGAGCCGTTACCCGACAAAATCGAGCCGTTACCAGAGGGATTAATAATCGCGCCTGTAGGCAGCACCACGGCCCGAACCAACGAGGAAGGTTGGTTGAGGCCGTGTGCGCACGGCAGAGAAGGGTAGGCAGAAAAAAAGAGGACTCTTGACAGCACGAGGCCGATTCAAAGCGGCCTCCCTCGGTGCCAGCTTGGCGAATGCTGCAGGTTAAGGTCGTACACTTCACTCACAAATGGCTTTTTTGCTTCTGCACAAATATATATGATGGTCACGAACGTGTATGCACGGTCTTTGGATGTTCACATCGAGAACGTGTCCATCTTCAAGTTATTAATGAGCTTCTGCAATCCTCTCTTCCTGACACTTCTAAACTGTGGTCCTGATGCTATGTTATAATCTCATAATTTATCACACTCAGCAATGTCACAATGACACTGCAGAATGAATTCACACTGCAGCTTAACAGACCGGTGGCTCATTGGCTAAAACATCTTAAGAGTAATATTTTTCCCTTATACCGCTTCAGGACACGAAAACAAAGGGAGAGTTTATGCAAGTCGATTTATACGACCAGCACGTATTACGGGCTCTTCAGAAAGTGACTGACAGAATGGACCCTTCTCAAAATACAAAAAAACTGTTTATTTCTCTACTTTTTGACCGGTTCCTTGTTCCTGTAACATGTAAAGCAAAGTATCAATACTTGCTGCTTGTATCGCGACCTACGCACCCACGATTGTAACAAAGATCTGTCCTGTACGAAATCTGTACCGTCGCAGGCGCCGATGACAAAAGCGTAACAGCTTATTGGACCCCCTCCTGACGAAATATGTTTTCCGATTTTAATTCATAGAGCGCCTTAACCAAGGCGCTTGACATATATTTACTCATTTGTTCAGGAGAATGGTGTGGCGAAATGAGATGAGTTTAGAAGGATGGTAGTGCACGATGAATATGATTGATGATGCGGGAAATAAACGATGATGAGAGCGACAGTAAGTGGTAGATGATGATGAGCGAGTGCGATGAGTGGGTAGGGACGTTGGGAAGAGTGACAGAGTTAGTGATGGGGAAGGGAGAGGATATGGAAGTTGGGGAAAGTGAGGGCTAACAAGTGAATGTTTTAAGGGAATAATGATGAATAGTGAACGAGGCTTATTGCTTGACATAGGAGCAGATTGTTCCAGAATAAGGGGGCCAGAAGCTAGAAAGAACGTAATGGCGATTGGGCACAGGGAGGAGTGGAACAGAGACAGCTGGGATTGTGAACAGAGAGGGTGAGAAGGAACGGAATGAGGAAAGCGAGACACGTTGTGCGTATGTTGGACTTCTCTCGCACTGTACGTAGCCAACCGTGCTAATTTGGAGGTGCGGGGGACAGTCAAACTAAACACAAAAAAAGGAGTTCCAAAGATTTTAAAGTGCATAGCTGCAGCGAGCTTCCTAATATCGTGATATCTCTCTGTAGCGAGACCATGGAGAGATTTGTAAAAATAAAACCTATCTGTCGGTGGAGACAAGAGGAGCCCCTGGTGAGGGGGGTTGGGGGGGGGCGACGACATGACGCTGCTTACCGGGGCCTCCTGAGAGGCGTGCGAAGGTTTGCGTACTCGGTGCGGCCGCTCCGGCCGCTTGTCCGCGGGGGTGCTCGCTATCTTCTCTCCGGCGACGACGCCAGTGACAGCGCGGGGCACAGAGGAGCCCTCTTCAGCTGCTTCGTCGTCTGTCACGGAGCACGAGCCCTCCTCCTCTTCCTTTTCATCCTGTAGCACAGACCATGGCCACCACCATTGTCATCTCCGTTAGCAACATTCCTGGCAGCTGAGGGGGAAGGGGGGATATGTTATGTGCCATGACGCGTTTTCTCCCAAATAAAATGTTAACCTTTTACAGGGTTTAAAGTAGCTTCCAAATTACATGGGCGCCACGGTCGAAAGATGTTAACAACCTCGCCTGCTATGCATGAGGTTCGTGGGTTTGATCCCGACCCGGACGTCTGTATATTTTGAGTTTGCGTGTCTTTCTCTTCCCATGGTCGTGTGGATTTTTCTCCGGGTCCTCCGGTTTTTACCTCCACATTTAGAATCAACATGCGTTTAGAGTAATTGGCTGCTATAAGTTTCCTCATAAGCCACATTGTTGAGCTATCAATTGTGATAGCCAGGTCGCTTCTGAAAAAGAGCTGTATAGCCCAGTCGGCCTTACCTGGTAAAATAAAAGTTTTCACTTTGTTTGGATTTGGGAATATTCTTGGGAGTCTTGTACCATTTCGTGCCAGTGTGTGATGTCATAACCCATATCCGGACGCACGTGAAGAGATAAATGACGTGAATTATTGCTATTCTTTTTGCCATTCAGGACAGTGAAGGTGTCCCCGCTCAGAGAGAATGGCAAGTTGCTTTTCATTGTAACTCGTTCAAAACAGGCCGAGACCCAGTCTCTTCCTGAGCGACATTACCCTTACATATGACGGCACTGGCGGTAAACATTATTGAGGGCTACCACGGAGAAGTACCTTTGTGGGCTTAATGGCGTGAAAGGGTGTTTTATTCATAGTTTCCCAAGAGTCAAAGCGCATCACTGAAATGCTTTGCTCGAGTCTCACCTCCGAGTAGTGCGAGTAGTTGTCATCCGCGCTCTCGTACCCAGAAAGCACTACACCTACAAAAACACAACACGCAATTAGCTCCACAACAAAAGGGGTGGTACCGACAGAGACATTTAAGCAGAACGCCACTTGCCCTAAAGCAAAGATGATGACTACGCGGACCTAATCCTGTGGTGATTTAGAGATGCTATCCAGCAACATGCTACGACGTCTAATTAACAACCCCGCCATCTGCTTCGGCCAGTCAGCCTCCACTTTTTCCATTGGACCACAGCAGGTGCTGCAAAGCGAAGACCATTTCAACCAATCGCTTTCTCCCGTGGGATTTCCGGGTCAAACTGGCCAGCTATGAAAGAACAGCTGAGAGAAGAGGAAAAAAACATACATTTAATTTATTTGGCCACACGACACCATTCCCCTTGCAGCCCGTGGATATTTATGGTAGCTTAAGTGACAACAGGTTATGTCAAAATTTTTAAAATGCATTCCTAGTGGACCTATCGCACGAAACTTGTCGTCTCAAAGACGCTATACGAACCCGACACGAAGGGAATTTCAGGGACTAGCAATGTTAAGAGGTAAAACGTACATTGGCGGTTTGCAGTCTGGCTCTAATTGTGGCTCAATTGAATAGGCTAGCAAATGTTCACTGCCTATGACCAAAACCGACTTGTAGTGCTCATTCTCAACAAACACGAATATATCTGCATGCTATAACAATGCCCTTAACTTAAGTTAAATAATTAGTGTCATTGTGAATAATATAAATAACAGCACTGATACAATAATTACTTATTTATCCAGAACCACACCGAGTCGTACGACTTTTTTTCAGGAGGGTTGTTACTTTAAAGATGTTTTCAGCCAATCAATGATTTGTGTTTATCCAAGTTGGAGGGAACCGGAGCACCAGGAGAAAACCCACGTACGCGCGAGGGGGCAACGCTCTATCCCCGTACAGACAGAAACGGACGGCGATTAGTTCACTTGCTGTACTGCCTTCGACTGGCGTGCCAGGGTATGGTACCTCCTCGAAAAGTTCATCTCCGGTGTTAATTTCTCACCTTATGAAAAAAACGATTGACATTGACAAGACTGCCTCTTTGTATAGACACTGCGCCTATCCTTGCAATATTAATATATTTATTCAAGATGATATCTTGGTTACATTTTTTATCATACGAAAAAACATGGTAATGTTTTGTATAGGCCCATCAGTTTTCATAAGCCCTAGGCACAGTAGGCACTGTTCCTAGGGCCTACAAAAGGCACTGGTGCCTATAGAATTACACGGCTCTGCTCCTCAATCATTACAGCTGCCTCACCAGCTTTTTGTAAAATCAGTTCAAGCAAACCCTAGACTGACACTGTGCCTCGGGCCTACGAAAACTCAAGGGCCTATAAAAGGCACTGTGCCTATTGGATAATACGGCCCTGCTCCTCAACCCTCACAGCTGCCTCCACAAGGCAGTACTACAGGCCACGTGCAGTGTAACCACAACACAATAAACCTCCTTCATCTGTATTTCCACAAAAACAAAAGTATATTTTTACACAACTCATCGGGCCTCCATCGCCTTCTGGGAGTGCATAAATTCAGCAGCATTGAGAATGAGTTCAAGCAAACCCTAGACTGGTTTCGACATTACGTTTATCATCAGCAGAATCAGTTTTGCTTGCTTGAATGGATTCCAGTGATATGCCAGACACAAACATAAGCAGACGATTACTTTAAAGGCTGTTAAAATAAAGCCAATACAACATATGCAAAGTTTAAGCAACTATTATGGTGGCAAATGTAAATAAGAATCTCGTCTTTTTTCAGGTCTCTGCACAAAGATATATCCCATGGCTCAAGTTTCCTCCATCCCATCTCATCCAGCTACCCAAATCCTTACCACACAGCACCACACTCCACGCTTTGGCTCTTATTAGAGCCATGAATGAGTTAAAACAAAAAACAACTCACCATCTCTCTCAGGGACACCTTCACTTTCCTAAAAGGCAACAAAAACAGCAGCAATTAGTGACATTTATGTCTCTTCATATGAAAATGGACATGAGCTATGTCATACACTGCCACATTGTATGATGTGATTAGTCATCTTATTTAAAAAAAAGTTTCATTACTGATGAACAGTTAAAAGACATAAAATGCAGGTTCAACTGCTTGTATTTGTCAGCAAGGCAATGGTGTTTAGTAATGGCATGACAATGTATATATAGAGACATCAATCGATATGAATTATGCACACAATACATGCGTCAAATTATATGTGCAGGAGCTCACGCTTTAATTTGTATGTGTGTGTGTATGCATGTATTGAACTTCTTTCGCACCATATCGTTTGCATGCAATGGTTTCACGTGACACCTCCAGAGGAGGTCGAACCGTGACCGTGCATCGCGACATTTGAATCAAACGTGGGGGGCTGGGGTGTGAATTATGAAACCCCTTAGTGCATTTAGCACAAACGGTTTTTAACACGTCGGGCGAACATTTATTTTTAAAACTGAAAACCATACATAGTGACGAGACCGTTACTGTTTAGCACCTTTGATTAGCACGGTTGGTTATGTACGGTGCGAAATAAGTACAACATACATACACCGCACCTCCGATTAGCACGGTTGGCTACATGGTGCAAAATAAGTTCCACATACGTACATACACCACACATCCGCTTAGCACGGTTGGCTACATGGTGCAAAATAAGTTCCACATACGTACATACACCACACGTCCGCTTAGCACGGTTGGCTACGTGTGGTGCAAAATAAGTTCCACATACATACACCACACCTCCGGTTGGAAAAAAGTTCACCAGACATGCATACTGTGCAAACAATATCAAATGCATCTCGTTACCAGAAAGTTCAATAAACGATGCCAGTTGTAATTTATTATCCACGTAATTGCAGAGCTCGTATTGCAAAAAATATTGATATATATAGAACACTTATATATTCCACATTGCATTTAACAATGGGGTTAACCTTGCAGCTTGAGTTGTAATATTAGTTACAGCTAGAGTTGTAGTATTAATTATAGATTTAATGCAGGGTGAATATCAGATTTTTACTATGCGCTTCCAGCAGGTAAAGACAACTTAAACTGATTTGAAGCTGAACATGATTCAAGTTGGCCAGACTAATAAGCAGTCAAACGTGGGTGAAGATGGGTCCCTGCGTAATCGCTCAGTTCCTTCATGCATCTCTTACTTCATACATTTTAAGGAATGGAATGTAGGAAGTCCTTTGCAAATGTATTTCAAATAAATATCATCACAAGGGAAAACATCACTGTGTGTAGAAAACGTTGATATCTATGGGATTTTTGTTTGGATGTTTTGCCACAAGTATTTATGGCTAATGCAGACTTGATGCCCTGAAATAGGTATCTATTTGGTATTTGAACATCTAAATGCCTCCTGTTTTATTGCCAGAAAGGGTAAAGCCTATTCTTATTTTTTCATCAAATCGTCAATAAATAAAAGGGCTTAAACTCAAAACATGTTTTATTTTTATTTTACCAGGTAAGGCCCACTGAGCTTTATAGCTCTCTCCACACTTAGAAACATGAACACATGTTTCTAAGTGTGGAGGGAAAAACCGGAGGACCCGGAGAAAAATCCAAGTGACCATGGGGAAAACATGCAAACTCCAAATATACAGGCTTCAGGGTCGGTCGGGATCGAACCCACAACCTCTTTCATACCGTACATACAGGAGATGATTCAGCCACACACTCCACTGAGATCTTCACCGATCATGCCTTACTCGACATACCGCACTGCGGGCTTCAACCCTAAGGTGTCCGCATGGCACTCCGACTCTTGGGAGTACACTGCCTTTGGGAGGTCAGGAACTCAACGCAGCTGATGGAGACTTCTAAGTTTCCCACTGAAGACCCCACCACCTGTTTAACACGGCCTCTCTCTCCAGTTCTCTATCTTGTCTCCTTAGTCTTAACTCTGAGATACATTGTTTACTCCTTCTAAATTTACATATTTTTTAATTACAAAAAAACTGTTTTATGGTTGTACCACTTCAGTTCCTCAAGCTACCAGCACATGAAGAGAAATGTCGGACATCACGCAAAAAAACACACACGGTGCGACTCAAAAACACAACAAATGGCTATATAGCACTATCTTGAAAAGCACTCTCTCATTTATCTAATGTACTTCATGGTTATTCAATTTACAAATGACAACTGGCCAATGAAAAAACCACGGAAAGTCCCTGGACATGAATGCGGCAAATGACACCTATCAAGGTCTTACAATTCAATAAAACGTCATCTCAAAGTCAAAATGTATCAGGTATTAAGGGAGAGTGTGGGAGTTTCAGAAGCAATAGCAGCTAATAATCAGAAACGTCTAGAAGGAAGAAAGTCCAAAAACATATGGCCAGTGACATCACCAGCCAACAACAAACAAGCAGAGGCATCGACCTGCTTCCTCCCTCTGTGTTTATTTTCTAGAAGCTTCTGTTCAACTGTGCTGGGTTTTTTTCAGTGCAGTCACAGCCAAGTCGCTCAGCGATACATTTACATTCATAGACGGTTCAGGAAGTGTTGATATATGTGGGCACGAATGAATGTGAATGTGTTAACTGAACAATAAAAATGTAAAAGGCTTAGGGTTCATTGATGGATGACACCAGACAATATAAAATGTAAACGCTGTAGAAAATGCAAAAAACATCCTCAACATGTCACAACGGGGAATTGGTCACTATTTTTAGAAAACTATATTTTTGGCCACATCCAAGATGCAAAATCCAACATCCATTTCCATAAGAATGTGGTGACCAGGTGAACGGACTATTTTCATTATCTTTATTCTTCATTTCTGTAAGGTATTGCTTGACCTATAATAGAGACTTTATGGGTTAGATCGTGTAAATATAAATGTGTCATTAAACCCGCCACCACCCGACACAGCCAATGAGTAAGATTTGTCACGTAAACAAAACGTGCCAATTCGTTACTAGTTCAGCACACTGGTGTGCTTGATAGTAAACCCACAACATTTACAATTCGAGTACCGTGACGTTTGCCGGTAATTACAACCAGTCGCATCAGGCGACAGCCGCAATTGTGGAGAAACCCGACCTGTTTCAGTCTTAAAGCATTGCTAAATTCTAGATTTGAAGCTTTCGTGACTGCAAAGATTCATATTCGTAGGTTTTTTTCGGTAAAGTCACGTAGGTAAAACATTAAAATTAATAAAAGACGGAAGCTTGTGTTGCCTCCGAAACGTCGTGATTTTTATTTTACTTTTATTAATTTTAATGTTTTACCTACGTGACTTTACCGAAAAAACCTAAGAATAGTATTGCAAAAGTCTGCTGTGAAGTAGACAACTATTGTGTACCAGTTTCACAGGACACGAATCCTAAAAAAAAACTCAACATTACAGGGCAGCTCGAACGTTGACTGTACACAAAGCATAATGGACATTCGGTCCGAACTTGACCAGTGCCACTCGCAGAACTCCCTTGCAAATGCAGACAATGCCAATGGGCCCTCTCTCTCTCCTGTTTAAAAACATACAAAACAAATCTCAACGAGCTTACAATCTCAATGGACTTTCACGCGCTTCAAAAATCAACACGAGGGGGGGGGGGCGGAAGTTTTGCTCGGTTAAATCGACTCAATGAACTTGGTTAAGCAATCACAATGGGCTCTCTCAGCTGGGCGAATGGTGTTTAAACTATAAATAACTTTCCGCAATGAAAGGCCACTCACTGGTTTAAACTGCAGCCTATTCCTGCACACGATTCTGTTTCAGGGCTAACATAGAACCATTACAAGAGCTGTTCGTGCACCGCTGCAAACGAAGTGTATATGTAGTTGCAACTCTGGGATAGTAAACGTTTCACCGACTCGACAATGCAAGTTAAAGCAATGCAGTCTTAATAACGGTGTGAACTGTTGACTTAAAACGGGGTTTATTTGGGATGCCACGGTATACAGGAGGTCGTGGGTTCGATTCCGACATGACGCCTGTATATTTGGAGTTTCCATGTCTCTCCCCGTGGTCGCGTGCATTCTTCTCCGGGTCCTTCAGTTTTTCCCTCGAAAATTTTAAACACGCGTTTGGTGTATTTGGCTGCTCTACATTTCCATATGATTATATGATAAGCCACTTCGCTGAGCTATCATTTGTGATGGCCAGGTCACTTCTGAAAAGAGCTACATAGCTGTGGGCCTTACTGTACCCGGTACATTTTCAATTGTTTGGTTTCAGTTCATTGTGTTTTACAAAAACATTGAATTGTGGTTTTCACTGTCAGTGCAGCGTTGGTTGTACATCATTAGCATGCATGTGTCCTATAGTATGAATGGGTTGTAGTAATTACAATATTACTACTGACAATATTTTGACTACTGTACTCGCATTCAAACTGTAACACTATATCTAACAATGATGCCATCGTATACAGGACTAACGCATTGAGACTATGTGACCAATAGTAACAATTATTATGTTTTATTTTAATTATTTTATTACTTCCCTTCTACGTGACTTTACCGAAAGAACCAAGAAGATGAATCCCTGCAGTCACGAAAGCTTTAAATCGAAATTTAACCGCCTCTACGGGGAGGGTTTCCACATAACTTTGAGATCCTTCAACAAGCTCCGGGATAAGAAGGCTCAGCTAATCGAGTCTCTCACCTTTCTGAAGAGATGCCGCGACTCTAAGGTAATCCAAGCTCGTGTGCTGTTTCATTCAGACTCTGTCGCCTCGACGGACCTGGTTTTCACCTGAGGACGGCTGCTTGCGTTGTGGCCGAAACGTCGTGAGAATTGTTTTATTATGTTTTATTTTTATTATTTTATTACTTCCCTTCTACGTGACTTTACCGAAAGAACCAAGAAGATGAATCCCTGCAGTCACGAAAGCTTTAAATCGAAATAGTAACAATGTTAGCTACATTAGTAAGTCTCACACAAGTCGTAGTACGAGCGGGAACGTGGGGCGTAGCAACAGTGGTATTGCGAGTATTTAGGAGTAATAAAACATTACGTTTATGAATCGTCTTTGTACAAAGCAGACAAGGTCCGCTAGCACCATAAAACATGGCATAGGCCGAGGTGAGGAAAGTATTGAGTATTGAATAGTAGCGTATCGATCTTGGTAAGAGTAATAGTATTGAGGACAGTAATAATACTGCACTGTATTGTTAGTAGGAGCACACGTACAATAGTAGTCATGCGAAGTCATAAAAAGTATCAATGTGAGCGGCAATGGTATTACTTACATTATCAATGTGTTAGAATGGTCTCAATGCGATCATAGTTGTAGTATTACTGTTAGAATGGTCTCAGCGTGAGTAAAGTTGTAGTATTTGTGTTAGAATGGTCTCAGTGCGAGTACAGTACCAATAATGCAGTCTCTGTGAGAGTACACTAGTGAGTACTACTAACACTATCAACGCGAGTGCGTAAGTAAGAGCTACAGTAATAATTAAGGGCGCGCTAAGTTAATCGAACGATCGCAGTCGTAGTTACAGAATTTAGCGGCAGCGTGGAGCGAGGCGCTGAGAAGGCCGCAGGCGCCTCTCGCGCCGCGCCCCGCGCGCCTCCCCCCCCACCCCCCGAGCCGCCCTTACGCATTCGGACTCCGCGGCCCGCGCGGGGATGGCGGCCGCCTTCTCGGGCCCGCGTCCCGGGGAGAGGTCGCTCTCCTCCTCGTCCTCCTCCTCGTCGCTGTCCTGAGAGGCGCCAGTCCGCCGCCGCCTGTCCGCCATCACGCCTTGGTGGGGGGGGGTGACGTCATGTCGCCGCAGAGCGTGACGTCATGTCGCCGCAGAGCGTGACGTCATCGGCATGTAAAGGAAAGGGGAGGGGTTAACGAGGGGTGACGTCACCAAGCGAGACGGATGACGCTTCGTACGCGGGTTTAATGTCGATCGGGAGTGACGCCATTCGAATTGGAATGTGCGAGGCGGTTCTGAAGGATCAGAATCAGAATGTATTTGTACGCACGTATGTTGTATGTAGTTGTATGTAGGTTGAACTTCTTTCGCACCGTGCGCAGCCAACCGTGCAAATCTGAGGTGTGGGTGAAGGACAACTGAGCACGAAAAGCGGTTCTAATGAAGCGAGTTTGTCAATCTATTCTAGATGATGATTTACAAAGGAGCCGTCCATAAATGACATCACGCGATTTTGGACGATTTTTCACCCCCCCCCCCCCACTTCGACACACGGCGTCACAAAAAGTCAGACCCCCCCTCAAAAATGACGTCACAAATGTCTGCCCCCCCCCCAGGTGCGTGACGTCATTTATGGACGGCCCCAAAGTGCATACATAGCTCCAGCGGCTTCGTAATATCCGCAGAGCGGTGTCAAGACAGCCACAGAAGCGCATCTGAATGCGCGCGATGCCAGTGACCGTCTTTGTTCGATGGCCGGCCAAAGGCTGCGACGCTGCTGCTGCGAGGAATCCGATGAGCTATAACGCTCTTGTTCACATGTCCAGTAGGTAGGTTGCTGGTCAGAATGTTGCAACAATAAAAAAAAACACGATAGCAGTGCAAAGTATTGGTAAGGTAAAAAAATACAGGCAAAACTAAACTATGTTTAATTCTTCCAGGTAAGGTCCACAGAGCCATAGAGCTGTTTTTCAGAAGCGACCCGGCTATCACGAACGATACCTCAACGAAGTGGGCTTATCACGTGGACATTTATAGTAGCCAAATACCCTTGAAACGCGTGACGTTGATTCTAAATGTGGAGGAAAAAACCGGAGGAGCCAGAGAAAAATCCACACGGCCACATCTTCTATATATATAAAGTCGCAAATCTGTCTGTCTGTCGGTCTGTCTGTCTGTGTGTGTGTCTGTGTGTGTGTGTCGCCGGACCATACGCAGTTTCATTGGACGAAATGTGAGGGATTTGCGAGACGCGATTGGTCCGTTTGGTTTTCCACGGCGGTTGCCCCTGGCAACGGGTAGCGACACATTCGCTGCGGGGTGGACGCCATTTTTAATTCCCGTTAAAAATATGCGCACGCATTAACACGCGACTCTGAGGTAAATTCATCAAAGTTTCACGTCCTCTTCACTCCCCCCCCCCCACCCCAATGTGTGCAATTACTATTATAGGGTCGGTAGATAATAAAATTATAGCGATTAGACAGTATTATTGTAGCGCGGGGGGGGGGGGGGGTGTAACGGCCCCAGTACCCAGCCTCAGCCGGGTGGGCAATTTAGGCGAGGCCGGAGGCTCTGCACGGTACTAGGCCTCGACACCCCACCACACTATAGGCCGTACATATTACTGCACAGCGGCCGAGGAGATCGTGGCTGGGGGGGGGGGGCAAGGGTAGCAGCCCATCTGTGTATATATGTAAGGTTATTAAGAAATATATTTTTCACCCGGGCAGCGCCGGGTACTTATGTTAGTTCCAAATATACAACAGGCGATACAATATTTCATAACCAGGCCTATGTTGGCTCGGCTTCAGAAATCGTGTGTATTTTAATGGTAATTTATCTATTTGCATATAAATGTAGTGGCAATATATGAGTGTGGGGTATAAACGGTGGAAGTGCTGCGACAGTGACGGCATCGTTGCCCCGTAACAATCGAGATGCTGCCGGTGGAGCACACGTGTAGTGAGTCCAACTGAGTCGCAGACGTTATCTTGGGAGCAACACTATTTATTCACATACAATACATAACATAACACAACCTACGCTTGGGTCTCGAATGTTCATCTAGCCACGCTACGACAGAACTAGACACGGTTCGCTATCCTGGTCCGGACCACAAGCTCCTTCCCGGACCTCGTGGCTAGAGGCTTCTTCTCCCCGACGTGGATCTTCGAACACCAACACTGGAAGAACCCCGAGCTCCTCACGGAGCTCTCATTATATGCCCCTGTGCTGGGGCTGGCTCCGCCCTTAGCCCCGCCTACCTTCCAGGCTTCTCAAACTCCTTTTCGAATGTTCCCGAGAGCTCTTCGGGACCACGTGACCACACCTCAGCCACCGTCCACCGGTGCCCCCCCTCCAATATCGTCCAGTCACGTGACAACAGGTCAACCCCAGGGTAACCCTGGCTGACTGACGCTTGCTCTCGCTCCCTCACTGGGAGCCGGCACCGCACACTGCTCGTGATGCCTACGCGCTAACCAGCGCCCATCCAACCACCGCTAGTGTTGGTACTGCAGCCAGCAACCCGGGCTGCCCGCAATGACAACATTACCGGCCATGACTTCGCAAGTCCCGGCACCACACAGTGACAAGTATAGTCCCTACATCACCCCCCCCCCCCCCTACGTAGCTTCCAGCCGTTTCCAGCTGCTAACTCCCCCCAAAGCAAGCAACCGACGTAAACTAACATAACAACAAACAAGTGTGCTCCAACAACATAACAAGGCAACAATAAATAACCCAATCCAACTGTACAATATATACACATGACAACAAGACCAAAAAAACAACCGGTCAGCCTGACAACCACGGCGCACGGAATCCCCACAATCAACATTTCTCACCCTCAACGTGTAACAACGGTCATGAGCTCGATGGTGAGCAGGATCAGCCAAATACAGCCCATAACTCACGTGAGCGCGACAGTCCATGATGGTGTGGGAGTGTGCAATGTGCGGGATCATGCAAATGGAGTCTTTGAACGAGTCCGTGACGCCGGTCCTCCAGACGGGTTGGGCTCGACCGCCTTGGGAGGGCCGGGGGGAGCAAGAAATCGACCCAACGAAGCCGGCTACTCTCGCAAAGCAGTAGGCCGGGTCGTCGGGTCCTTGGCCTTCCGAGCACGCGAGGCCGACACGAGCGGCCGCGTGCAAGGCATCAGTCGCGCAGCGCCCTGGGGGCGGAACAGAAACAATCTCCTGAGACCCCGCATCGGCAGACACACGCCCCAGCTCATCGGGCACACTCGACACTCGGTGCGTTCGATATAGAGATGAAACAAACTCGCACGGCGTGATGAATGGTTTCAGGTGAGAGGGGTGCTCAAGCCAGCTCCGCTTACCAAACCGAACCTGGTCACACTGGGGCCTCACGACTCGAACGACATCAATCGGCCTTCTCCAAGGTTGCAGCAATTTAGATGACATGCCCACTGGCACCTGCAGACAATGCAACCAGGTCCTGTCACCCGGCGACCGATCGTGCAGCAAAACATGCGGCCACCCTTGAGCCGCTCATTGGCCAGCTGCCTGGCCCGGGAGTTAACGCTGGCGGCTTCCTGCACCTCAGAAAGTTTGCCCATTGTGAATCGAATCGAGTCAGAAATGTTGGATACCTTCGGGGCTGGCGCGGCCTGCAACTGTACATCAATGGGAGGGTCATACTCTCTACCATACATCAAAAAGAAGGGAGAGGAGCTGGTGGACATGCGCGGGGTCATCCTGTAAGCGGCAAGAACCGCAGGGATATGCAAATCCCAATCGACCTGCAACTCGCTGGCCAAGTGACTCAACATGGTGGTCAGAGTACGCACGGGGACGTGCGTACTTTCTTTGCACCCAGCAGGTCGCAAATCTCACGCCGCAGAGTGGAAGAAAATGTTTTACCTTGGTCCGTCAATAGGCGCTCAGGAGCCCCTTATCCAGGACATAGCCATTCAGGAACGCGTCGGTGATAGCAACAGCCGACTGATTTGGGATCGGCCAAGCCATAAGCCAGCACGAGAAATACTTGACGCCCACAAATAAATATTTGTTTCCGCGCCGAAATGGGAAACGGCCCGAGAATATCGAGGGCAACAATTTCATTCACCCGTGACACCTGGTTGGATTGCAGCGGAGGACAACAGGATCTCGCGGGCGGCTTGCGCCAGGCACATTGCATGCAGCCTTTAAGTAGATCCTCAACGTCAGAGGCCATGGCCGGCCAATAAAAAAATCCAATTTGAGCGCGGCCAGCGTCTTCTGCACTCCGAGGTGCAACAGCCGTTTGTGGACAGCCCACACAACCTTGCCCCGCGGGGCGGTAGGGACAACAATAGCATAACAGCGCAATCCTCCATCCCAATACATGAGCAATCCTCCCCGCAGCACAAACGAGTTCACATCCCGTGGTGTCTCACCATCGGCGGTAACACTGACACGCCGGCGCAGCTTAAGGAGGGACAAATCCTCCGCCTATTGACGTTCCCATACCTCATAATCAAGACCCAAGGTAGCATCACGCGCGACGGGGACGTCGCCCGTCCCCTCAACGGCGTTCATGGCAGACGCAACGAGAGGGGAGTGGGAGGTCGAGCCGCATGGCCGACAGCGACCCGAACTGGAAAAACATGCGCACTCCCCATGCGCTGGCAATTGCGAGAGGGCATCGGCGTTCGAATGGTGAGTACCCTTATGATATGTGACATTGAACGAAAAATCCTGCAGGATTTCAAGCCAACGCAACAATTGGCCTAAAGGCTGGTCCACACGCAACGCATACTGGAGCGCCGCGTGGTCCGCCAAAGACAGCACCCTGCTGCCATACGCAACCACGTGCTCCACGCCATTAATGATCTGAGATAACACGGCACCAATACCGGTATTACTGGCATCTGTTACCAAGATAAACGGCAGCAAAAAGTCGGGATAATGTAGGGGAGGAGCGTTAACAAGCCCATCACGAATGGAGCGGAACGCAGCCTCCTCAGCCTCCCCCCAATGAAATTTCTGGCCCTTGGCCGTCAGGGTGAGGTTTAGCAATGGACGCGAACCCCGTAACAAACCGGCAATAATAAGAGGCAAAGCCAAAAAAACTGTGCACCTCGGTAGCCGAGGTGGGTGTCGGCGACGTCCGAACACAAGCAGTTTTCTCGGGGTCCGTCGCAATGCCCGATTCGCTGACTATGTGGCCCAAGTAACGGACAGATTTTTGGAGGAGATTACATTTTTGGGGCTTGAGCTTCAAGTCGGCGGTGCGCATCTTAACAAAAAGAGCCCGCAGGTGATCCAAATGCTCATCAAACGTGCGGCCGAAAACGATGACATCATCTAAATATATCAGGCACAAATCACACTGGAGGCCCGCCAAAACCAATTTCATCAGCCTCTGAAAAGTGCAGAATGGAGCCCCATTAGAAGTCGGTTGAACTCGAACAGCCCTTGGGGCGTCCGAAAAGCCATCTTGGGTCTCGAGGCCTTGTCAAGCGGCAATTGCCAAAACGCAGACAAAAGATCGAGGGTCGAAAAATACCTGAAATTGACGCAAAACCGCAGACTGCCGTCGTGTTTCTTAACAAGGAAAATCGGAGCCCCCCATGGACTGGTGGACGGCAAAAATAATATCCGCGGCCAACATATCATTCACCGCCACACGAACATGGTCCTTCTCAGCCGGACTCAGGCAGTCAGGATTATGGCGAATGGAGGCAGCATTACCAGTGTCAATATGGTGGCTCAATAGAGATGTCCAATCGATATCGAATTTCGACTTACTAAAAATGTTGGAAAATTCCCGCAGGAGCACCCTTAGCGTCTGCGTTTGGCCCGCGGACAAATCGCCGCATTTCGAACATAGTTTGTCGATCCATGCCTCATTGACCACTGGAGGTCCGTGAGATCGAACGCCGACCCCGACGTTTCCCACAACATGTGCTTTCGGACACGCCGGGGACGCGTGAGCGATCACAGAACCCTCTTGAATAATCGTGGTGTCAGACCCGGTGTTAAGGACCTGTATAAACGGCGGCTGGTCCTAGGAGACCAGCGTCTGCGCCGCAACCAGCAACATCCATCGACTGATTTTATTCGAAAGACCAAGGACAATGTCGTCACTCACGGCACGCGCATCGAGCGGTTTTCGCAAATGAAGAGGCATGAGCATTTGCGCGCCGGGGGGGGATCCGCACTGTGCGGCATGCAAATACCTGTACCATAGCATTAGCAACATTAATGCGAGTCGAGGATGGAAGAAAAGCCATACGCCGTCCCGATGGCAACTCCAAACATCCCTGATCGCTGAGAATTTTCAGGGGCATCTTGCCGAGAAAGTCAGTCCCCAGTAGGTACGGGACAGCCAGGGTCGTAGAAACCAACACGTGGCCCGATAATTGGAGATCGGCAATGCGCAACGCAACAGAGATCCGGCCTATTATCCCCAACGACCCGCCATTAGCGGCGACACACGGAGCATCTACCGGCTCCAAAACGCGACACCGGCGTGGCAAAATGTTATAAATCAACTCGGATATAATGGTCGAAGATGCACCAGTATCCACAAGCATGCGCACTTCAACCCCCTCAACAAACTCGAGCACGGCCGACGACCCTGTGGTTGCCGCCACCACGCGACCTACCAGCTCCGACCACTGATCATGTCGGAGCGGCCACGCGTCGCGAACATGACCCGACTCCCCCCGAATACGCGCGCGACCTCGACGCACACCGGACCTGCTCAATGAATGAAGGGAACTTCGGGGCCGAGTGTGAGGTGCACCGTGACTCGCCTTAGGGGGGATGTAGTCGTAGGAAGGCAGACGTCCCAAGGCCTGCCATTGAGGAACCCGGCAGCCCGACTGGGCATGCCCCGGCAGGCCGCAGTTGTAGCAGGTGACCCGTTCGTCGCTGGAATGGACGAAGCAGAACTCACTCGCCGCCAGTCGTCCCGCCGCCGATCACCGTCACCCCGTCGATCGCCGCCCCCGCTGATGCAGCGAGCACGCGGGCACAGCCTCTTCGACCGTGTGACCCTCGGGCTCCGCGGAAGACGCGGAGCACGCCACCAACACCCTGTCATGCTGCAGGGTCTGCTGCGCCTGGATACACCTGGTGATCTTGAGTGAAGACATGTCCCCGCTGTTGGTGGGAAGCACAGTGCGAAGTTCCTTGGCGAGCTCCAACATCTTCTCAAGCACCAGTGCGTCATGGCCATCGTGACCCATGAGCGGATACGCGGCCTTCGCCAGTGCCAAAAGCGCACTCTTGTACGCGAGGGCCGATTCAGCATCACCTCTCCGCCTCACTGCTAACTTATGGCGGCCATCTGGTCAAACGCCTGTGTGAGGGTCGACCTCTCGGACGGTGGGATGGTGAGGAACGCCGCTAAAGCATCGTCATCGAGGGTGGCGGGAAGTGCCTTCAGCGCGTCCGCCTCCGACCACCCCGCCACGTCGGCATTCGTGAGGAATCTTCTCTTAAACGCCATACAATCTCCGCTGGTGGCAACAAATGATTTAATGAAGGGCAGCCGACGGCGGAGCGACTGGACGTCGAATGACGAGCGCGGGCAGCGGTGATGGCGTTCCCGCCCTTTGTGAAATGGCTGCCAAGTCGCCTCACCCAGACAGCTCTGCCGCCCCTTTCTTCGCCATCGAGGGGAAGGACCGCATCTTGATGAGGATGGAGGATGACGCTTGGAGGTCAGCGAGACGGCCATGCGCGTCCCTGACAAGCTCAACAGAAGGCAAGGCGCCTCGCGCCCCGGCTGCACCCTACTCTGCGGGCAGCATCTCCGCTCCGTCCTCGGCGGCCGTGGGCGGAATCAGCTCGTCGTTGTCGTCTGACACTCGCACACGAACTCTGTGACGTGTAGACATCTTCCGTCTACCGCTAACTATAGTCAAGCAAGTTGGCCACTTCCGACACCAGTTGTAGTGAGTCCAACTGAGTCACAGACGTTATCTTGGGAGCAACACTGTTTATTCACATACAATACGTAACATAACACAACCTACGCTCATGCCCATCTAACCACGCTACGGCAGAACTAGACACAGTTCGCTATCCCGGTCCGGACCACAATCTGGGTCCCGGACCGCGTGGCTAGAGGCTTCTTCTCCCCGACGTGGATCTTCAAACACCAACACTTGAAGAACCCCGAGCTCCTCACGGAGCTCTCGTTATATGCTCCCGGGATGGGGCTGGCTCGCCCTTAGCCCCGCCCACCTCCTCGGGCCCCTTCTCGAATGTTCCCGAGAGCTCTCCGGGACCACGTGACCGCACCTCACCCCCGTCCACCGGTGGCCCCCCTCCAGTATCGTCCGGTCACGTGACAACAGGTCAGCCAGAGTATCATGCCCCAGGGTAACCCTGGCTAGCTGAAGTTCGCTTTCGCTCCCTCACAGGGAGCCGGCACCGCACACTACTCGCGTTTTTTTGGGTTAGATCGCGTAAATATATATGGCTTTGCACCCGCCACCACCCGACACAGGCAATACGTAAGGTTTGTCATGTTAACAAAATATTCCAATTACTAGTTCAGCACTAACTGGTGTGTTGGAGAGTAAATCTACAACATTTACAATTAAAGTACATGTAAACGAATTGCCATGTTTTGTTAAAGTCACAAACATTAATTGGTCATGTGGGGTGGTGGTGGGCCTAATGACAAATAAATTTTTATGCGATCTAACCCAAAACAAACTTTATTATAGATGCCGATTAGTCCTCTTGTTCTGCTGCCTACTGCTGCCCAGCCAAGGTGAGGCACCTCGATGCCCACGGTGAAGGGAGTCTTGCAATATCTGTGTGTGCGGTGATCCACCAACCCCCCGCGACTACCTGCGCAGTGCTGGGTTACAGGGCAGCCAAGTACAGCAGCGGTAGCCACCGCCACTGCCACCCGGCTTTACAATCACCGCCTGGAAACAATGCAAAAATAATGATAGAAAAACCCAATGGAATTCTAGAGATGGTACAAGTTTATTGAAACTTCTTCCACCGTCATGCTGGGATTGCGATGTCCACCACACGCGATGGGCGATGCGTGCGGATAACGCACGGATAACACGCGGACAACGCGTGTACTACTTGCGGCTGCCGCAGAGGCGCATGTGCTGAGAACCGTCGGTCACCGCAGCCGTTTAAAAAAAACCTGCGCGACACCAATCCGCCGCTTTAAAAAAACCCACTCCACGTTTTGTAAAATAAAAAAAACACACCGCTGGTTCACATCTATAAAACAAACACTGATAGGTGTGCGTGCTTGGGTGGACCGCTCTCAAAGACAACTCAAGGGTGACGGTCACCAACGCTAAAACATTGCCGCTGGGTAATCGCAAAACAGTTTTTTTCTTTTATAGTCACGACAGAAAATACCTCCAGATTTGCGTGCAACGATTGTACCAAGACAGGGCAAAAGGAACCCGACTTGCGCTCGGATTTCAGTTCAAAGGCTCGTCGATAATGCTCCCAACATACTTTACTGACCCGTCGCGATAGTCTATACCATGTATACATTACCACACGACAAGCGCGGAATGTAAAATGCCATTTCCATAGCGAAGATAACCTGCCACATTCACACCTGCCGCTGGCTCGGAGCAACCTTGAACGACTCTCCGAACACAAGGCGTCTCGGAAAATGCTCGTCAATAAAATTATGCAAGGCTAAGACACCGATATGTAATACTGTCATTTTAACCAGATTTAAAACCGCCGTTCGAGATGCTTTATTGCTAAAATAATTCCTGTTCATCATTCGTCAATGCTACAAGCATTAGTTATTCACATGCACTGCGTCATCCTCAGTCACCTTGTGCAACTTGACACGATGGCATTATCGTAGTCAATGGCAATTTTTTGTCCACCGCTGAACGCTCCGTATTCCTTTAAGGAAAATAGAACAAAAACCGCGTGTTCGGTTAAAGTCCAAATACTACATGCCGAACCACAGCTATAAACACAGAACAAATACCGACATTAATTCTGGTTAGTGCACGAATATTCAACCATAATAGCCCATCACTTTGCGCCCCTGCCAAAGCCAGCTAGCCTGAGCAATGTTGAATCAGTTTAGCTGCCAGGACAAAGCCTCATAAAGTCTGATGAGTTGCAAAGGGCTACAAACAACTTCAATTCAGACTATCACATCACTCGCGCATGCAACGTTCGCCGAAGCCAAATAGGTTCCCGTAGAGACGTGTCACTCTTTAACAGAGAGACATTTCACCGTGACAAATATTCACGGCAAAAACGCGGCAGCACGTAGGGTGGTCATGAATCAATGAACATCCAAGTACAGAGCGGTGTGGACTTCAGCACATTGTGCCTCATCGTCCCATACGCACTAATGGGGCAACGATTCCGTCGCAGCACTTCCACCGTTTATACCCCACACTCATATACTGTCACTACATTTCTACGCAAGTGGATAAATTACCGTAAAAACATGCACGATTTCTGAAGCCGAGCCAAGATAGGCCTGGTTATCAAAATCTTGATATTGATCCGAAGGGGTGCCACGATGGCGAGATGTTAAATACCTCACTTCCTATACAGGTCGTGGGTTTGATTCCAACCCTGACGCCTGTTGTATATATGGAATTTGCGTGTCTCTCTCCCTGTGGCTGTTTAGAGTATTTGGCTGCTATACATTTTCACGTGATAAGCCACTTGCTTCAGCTGTCATTTGTGATGGCCAGGTCACTTCTGAAAAATAGCTACATAGCTCAGTGGGCCTTACCTGGTAAAAATAAATATAGACTGGAATAATCTGAAAGGTCACTTCTGAAAAAGAGCTACATAGCTCAGTGGGCCTTGCCTGGTAAAAATAAATATAGACTGGAATAATCTGATAAGCTACAAAGCTCTTTGTCTCAGATGTCCAGTACTCGGATGGGTGACCACCAGTGCTTGCCATGTGTTCAGATGTGCTCGGCTGCAAAGGTGTGGGCCAGAAGGTGATTTGACCACGTTCCATCACCTCTCGCATGTGAGGGTTTAATCCGGGCTCACCGTCTCCATCCCGCGTGCCACTCATCATGGTGACGGAATCGGGCCAAATATCCCAACTCAGGACAATCCTGAAATAGTCTCGTCACTCTTTTGAGATTTTCCTAGGTAAATCATTGGCATTACCAAATAAAGCTACCTATGACCTTAAAATAAAACATCTATTCAAAAGTTACTTTCAACACTTGGATGGTGCTGTTACTGCATGCACACGGCACCAAAAAAATACATTTGGTGGCCTTATATTTCCCAGACCACATTGGGATCACTTACATGGTGATGTAAGTGTGGTTCTTGTAGCATGAGAATGTGAAACATGTTGCTACGAATAGAACTGGGCCCGTGACCTCAATCCAGGGGATTTGTATCTAAATTTTTTGCATTTTCCCAAATTGTTGTCCAGTAATGAGACTAACAATGGATTTGTAAATCTCGCAGGACAGTGCGACCATTTTTGTGTTTATCACAGTTGGCCACGTACGGTGGTGCGAAAGAAGTTCAACATACATAGCTACAACCATTCTTGTTAGAGATCGGCCCACGGAAGTGGACACCACAGAACTATCTCTGAGATCTCTTCTTCAAGTGGCACTGGCCCACACACAGGAGAGGGCATTTCCCACTCACTCTGCCATATGAGTATGAGGATGAACCCACGACAGTCAACCCAATGGCTTTCATTCTCAAGAGCTAGAAATTAGGGAAATTGCGCCCGGAACCAAATTTAATATGGGCTTTTTTTGTGGCGACTGGTCCGAGACCATCAACTATACTACACTTGAGATGTTGGTTTAATCACAAGCGCTTGTCTGGATTTCAAGCCAGGATCTCAGCGGTGCGAGCTTAGCGATCCTCTGACCTCTGAGCCACCCGGCCACCTCTTTGTGACGTTACTCTCCGTTCGGGGGGGGGGGGGGGGGGGGGGGGGGGGGATGCGTTCCTGAAAGGCGCGACGACGAATATCGAAACGATGTCAATGGAAGCGATTTTCAAGGGTAGTAGGAGTGGCTCGTGGTGGAGGCGAAGGCTGAGAGGCAACCAATAACGAGAAAGGATGTGAAGACGATGCTGTCAGCGACGTTAAGAGCATGTGGAGGTTGAGGCGACACTAATCCGGTAACGGTGTTAATAATAACGCGACGACACATTTGCGAAACAACGTCAAGGGGGAGAGACATACATCGGGGTATCGCTGCATCCTATTTATTTTCATAGAACTGAAAACATCTCGGCGTCTTTGCCTCTAAAGCATTGAGTATATTCAATGCATTGTCCTACCGCCATCCAGTAGGTCATATAAAAGACGCTGCAATGCGGGAACTAGGCGATGCGGTTTAAGAAAAAAAAAATTCCATTCTAGAATTGCGAACGGTTAATTTGATCGCGAGGGGCAAATCATCGCAGCCAAGTTTGTGCAGTGAAGCCACCAATCAAAGAATTCGAAATTGCAGTTGTTTATAAACTCCTGTGTATCTGTGTGTATGTTGAACGTCTTTCGCACCGTACGTAGCCAACCGTGCTAATCAGAGGTGCGGGACGATCGTGTGCTTTACTAAAAAGTAATGAAAAGTGCCATAACGAAAAATATATTTTTCTTGTTAGTGTCTGGATAGTATCGACTACAAAAGTTTTGGTTTCAAAAGCCATCTAATGAAAACTACGCACGAACAAATGGCCACAATTTTTGCTTCAAAGTCATTAATACACCGCTGATGACGACGATAATGGCATAATTGATAGCACGAACGTCTTTGAACGCAATTGAAGAGCACTGCGCATGAACTCCACATTATCGCGAGATAACGATGCAAATTATCAAGAGAAAGTGGCAACAAAGGAACATCCCTATCGGCATGAAGTCGGTAAACAACAAAGTTCTCGTTTCTAAAACGCAACAGCGAATCGCTGCGTTCACACCTCACTCGGCGAGTCGCTGGTCGGGACAATTACAAAAGCGTCACGACGTCAACCCCCGCCCCTCCTGGAAACCTACGGCTCCGTACAAATGGACGTTGTTGCTTCCTTGTCGAGCGGCCGTCAGGGGCCAACACGCGCCGCGTGGGGTTTGTTTAGAGTGCCACGTCCCTCACGCTCGCTGCCAGGGCACCTGCTGTCGAGCCCGTGCCAGCCACACCTTCCCCGCCACGGTCTCCAATATTGCCCTGCAGGTCCACCTCCTCGTCCTCCTCCACCTCCTCGACCTCCACCTTCTCGATCTCCACCCCCTCGTCCTCCACCTCCTCATCCTTCCGCTCAAGCCTGACTCCACCGACGCTCAAATCCTCCGCTCTGACTGCCCACGCAGCCGCCGGCTCTTCCTCGGGAGACGCTTCGCACATGGCTGCGCCGCCATCGGTACCGGAGACGCTCCGCCCTTTGCCCTTTGCCCTCTGCCCATCGCCACTCTCCTTTGCCGTGGCCTCTCCGCTATCTGCGCCATCCTCCTCTTCTTCCTCCTGCTCTCTCCTCTCCGCTGCTCGCATCTCTTGCTCTCTCTCCCCACCCCCGACACCGCCGGCGGCGATGGCGGTGTGCGTCCCCGATGCCCCGCTTGCCGCTGCGTCGCTGCCGTCCTCCTCCTCCTCCTCTCCTCTGGGCGTCACGCTGTCAACGCAGAACCCCTCCCTTCCCGTCTCCGCCGCTCGACTTTTCTCTGCGGGTTCGGCCTCTGCCTCGCTCAGTGGGAGGGACGAATCCGTACCTGACCAAAAAGGATATCGGCATTGCCATCGTCATCAGTGTCATCGCCGTCATTATCATCACCAACATCATCATTGTCATCACCAACATAATTTTCATAATTATCGGCATCATCATAATCATCCATGCTTAACCTTGTCTTTTTCCAGTTTTACATAAGCGTTGAACAATGTTGGAATTTATTACGGGACAATTCGTTTCATTTGGCGGTAGCAAGGTACGCACACGGTGCATGCCAACATAAAACATTAGCCAATGCCATAAATCCACCTGTACAAAGACAAAGATCCCCCATACAGCCTCCAACAGGCTGTTTAGGGCAAGTGATGTGAGAGAGCACCTAAGGCTGGCACGGCACACGAGGGGGTGGGTGGCCAGCACCCTTTCCTAGCTGCCTCCTGACCAGCGATGTTTACACACAGTACCAGGTATTCATCTGAGGCTGAGTCGACCTAGGGAAGCCCAGGACCGCTTCAGATCATCGTCACTACACTACCACTCCCCACAGCACCCCCACACAACAACAACAACCGCCATTCCCCACTAAGTGGCGGTGACGTCACCAGGACGCTTGTGCCAGGCTATGTGCACGGTAAGGCCACGTGAAGTGTCGAACGCTCGCTGGCAGGAGGTCACTGGGCAGATCTAGGTGCCACGGGCCGACTGCTGAGATGAGTGGCTGATGCACCACCTGTGCCCCTACTGTGCCAACTTGCTGTGCCAACTTGCTGTGCTTTAGCCACCTGGCGCTCCGCTCGCTGTTGTGAGCGTCGCTCCTCCGCCCTCCGTTGTTGTTGGAGGGCAACTTCCGCCAACTGCCCAGTAGCGTACTTCACGATCTTCCTCCACAGAGGCCGATCTTGACACCGCTGGTACCAGTCATCGGCAAGTCCACTCAGCTCCACGTCCTCCTGTACCATATCACTCCATCTCTTCTATAGCCCGTGCCGCGCCCATTTAGCCCCCTCGATACAGCCAAACAAAAGCTGTTTAGGCATTCGGTGGCTGGGCATGCAGGCTACATGACCCAGCCAACGCAGCCTTGCCTGCCGTAGGAGCTCAATGATGGGACTTGTCCGGATCTTTCAAGGATTTGTGAGCTCCTCAAACAATCTAGCATGGTTAAACCCAGGATGGATCACAGGCAGGCCAGCCTAAATGTTTCTAACCGGCGAAGATGTTCCATTAGGGGGGTCCACGTTTCGCAAGCGTAGAGAAGAGAGGGAATGACCGTGGCCGAGAAGACCTGAAGCTTCGTGCGGAGCGACAGACCAGGTAGCTTCCACACAGCGTTACGCAACCGATGAAAAGATAATGCCGCTCGAATGATTCGGAGTGAGACCTCTGCTGTTAAACCGGAGCCGGTCATGAGCACACTTCCCAGGTATGGGAAACTTTCCACTCTCTCTACAACTGCCATATCACCAATTGGGAGTTGTGGGGGTGGAATGTCTGATGGTACAAAATACCCAGGCAGGTGCTTAGTTTTGGTGGGGCAAATGAGAAGGCCCACCTCTTAGTGGCAAGCTCCAGGTTCAGCAGCAGCGCCTCCAACTCTTCCTCTGAGTGAGCAGCAATTACCAGATCATCGGCATACATAATATGGTTAAGCAATAGGGAGCCATCCCTGGACGCACCCGGGCATCAATCAGTCTCCCATTGTATCTGTACCAGATGGAAATTCCTCCAGTACAGCTATTGAAGACTTCACTAACTACGTGGTCGAAATAGATGTTAACTAATGTGGGAGCCAGAGGACATCCCTGTCGCACCCCAAGGTGAATAGGGAATGGCTCCGACTCCCAGCCACGTCGTTTTACCCGGGCCCGCTCACCATCATGAAGGTCATTAATGATCGTGAGCAGAGGGTCAGAGACTCTGAAAGCAGGATGGTAATTGGTGTGGCGCTGCAGGTTACTTTTTTAATGGAGTTAAAGAGTGATTTGTGATCGCGGGCCATTGTGGCAGACTCCATCTCCTCAGCAACCCGCAACCACTACCCATCCTTGCAGCGCTTCACGGCTCTCCGAACCCCCCCACACACACTCTCCCACACACACATTCACCCACACACACACATTCACGAACTCGCACTCGCACCTGTTAAGGGCGGCAGGCCTTCGCACTCGGGGGATGACGCTCCGCTGCAGTCACTGCGAGGACCCAGCCGCTCGTCCTGCACGGGGCTGAAGAAGCCGCTGTCAGGGTCAGCGCCCGACCCGGAGCTGGACCTGGATCCGGAGCCAGAGCTGGACCCGGACATGGAGCCGGAGCCGGGTTGGGAAGCCGCGAGCTGCAGGGCGGGTGGGCGCGTGGGCAGAGGAGCAGCACCACCGGCGCATGGGCTGCACGACTCCAAATAGTTGTCGTCCTTGGATGCCATGAGGCTGCAGGCGTCCGACTCGCACGTGTCCGACGCCACTGCGGTCGGCAGGCAGGCAGGCAGGCAGCGGCGGCGGTGCAGAATGCAACAGCAGTCAGCCAATCAGTCAACCAACTGGTTAACAAAACAATGACTGACTCAATTAATCAGCTGACGAATGAACCAATCGGCGCATTGCGCTAACTGGTGTGACATGGTTTCCCGCCTCCGCCCCCTCCCTGCCACCGCAGAGTGCTGATTTCGTCAAGGAGCATAAACCATCATCACACGAACTCCGGTCATTCTCGCAGCAGTGTTGGCTTTTGGCTAGTCATCGAACAAAGACGGTCATTGCGTCGCATGCTTCGCTTTCGGATACGCTTCTGTGGCCATCTGGAACGTTCTTTTTTGCGATATTAGGAAGGCACTGGAAGCTGTGCACGTTTAAATTATGATCTAGAATAAAAACTCATTTCTTTAGAACTGCTTTTTGTGTTTAGTCTATTTCCTTCCTCCGCATTTAAAGTTAGGGCGGTTGGCTACGTACGGTGCAAAATAAGTTCAACATACATATACCACATCTCCGATTAGCACGGTTGGCTACGTACGGTGTGAAAGGAGTTCAACATACATCAGGGGGAAAAGTAAAACTAAATCGACGAGCGGGCAAGCGTTTACCGGAGAAGCTGTCGCCGTCCATGGAGAAGAACCCCAGCTCCATGCTGAAGGCGCCGGTGGTCTCTGCGCCGACCCCGCGACCCCGGGGCTCCTCAACGGCGCTCGCCTTGCGCCGCGCGTGGATCTCGTCAGAGATTCGCTCGAGGCTGTCGAGAGCTGCACGGTACTGCCCCTTGGTAGCGGCCACGGCCTCCTGCAGGCCCTCCACACGCTGCTTCTGGTGCTGCCGTGACCACGCCAACCACCCCCTCGGCGTTAATGATAGCCGGGGTTAAACCCCCTTTGTCGCGTTCTGGTGACGTAGCGCGTGACGTGCCGCGTATGTCACCGTTTCTTTTTCTTTCGGTTCCGTTGCGATGACTTACACATGCCACATGCTCTCCCGTATGGCCTTGTAGGAGCCTCGGTACCAATACAGTTATTTTATTTCAGTTTTACTTTTGGTTACGTTCCGATGACTATGCCGTGTGGCAGGGCGCGTGGCAAAGTTTGGCGCCAGCCATCGTAAAGTGGCGGCGGTCGTGTCGTTATGGTTCTCTGCGGCGTGTACAATGTATTTAAAAACGACGACACTACTACGCCTCTCCAAATAAAGTTAACGCTGAACTGCTTGCACGTAACCGAGATTCGGCGGGGAACGGGACACCCACACCCTGCAACTTGCAGATGTCTCAGAATGGGAAAGAGATTAAACACCCGTAGAGATCGTGCAGAAATGTCTACGCTGATTACGGCAGGAACCGGTCTCTCCAAAGGACAACCGGTGGAAAATCCACGTCGTGCCTGGCCACAGCGTGATCATACCCCACTGGCGCTGGATCATGAAGCCGGTTCTGATAAGACTCGACGAAGTATAAACCTCAAACGTTAAAACAGAACCATTGTTTTCCTGCAATAGCGTGAAATTGACGCAATGTGCATACAGCGCGTCGTGCCCTCTCAGCGTAAAGTTGCACGTGTGCGACTTTGTAATGGGTTGTTGCACAAGCAACTTGTGCAATGTACAACCGATATCGTGCAACTGGGGTAAAGAGGCTGGGGCAACAATAATAATAATTTGACCAGGTGTAAAGCTCATGGAGCTATGTAGCTCTTTGTGAGAAGCGACCTGGCTGTTCCAAATGATAGCTCAACGAATTGGCTTATCATCACGTGGAAATTTATAGCAGCAAAATACTCTAAATGCGTGATGTTGATTTTAAATGTGGAGGGAAAAACCGGAGGGACCCGGAGAAAACTCCACGCGACCACGGTGAGAGAGACACGCAAACTCCAAATATACAGCAGCAAGCATCGTCAGGATAGGCATTGAACCCACGACTGCCTGCATACCAGGCGAGGTAGTCAACATCTCCTGGCCACCGTGACAATGTGACACCTACCTCCAGCTCGAGGTAGTACTTGGCCTTCAGCTCGTAGTATGGTCTGCACAATGAGACACACAAAGCGAGGGACATTACAAATGGCAACTGGGTCGGGTCCCAACATTCATATCACTCCTGGAGGATTTCTCTATGGCCGGAAGGACATGTCGTGCCATTCGTTAACATCGATTCTTAAACTCAAAATCACGCGTCGAATTTGTGCGTGCGATCGTTCATTTTGTTTCAACTCGTTTGTTTAATGGGTTTGCATCGTCCCTGCCGCCACTAAAGGTGCTACCATTCACCACCAAATGTATGTATGTTGAATTTCTGTTGCAACATACGTAGCCCACCATGCTAATCAGAGGTGTGAAATCGATTCTTAGTGACATAACAGAAACCAACGAAATTTTTGCCTCTGTGAATCTGCCTCAAAGTTGGGAGTCAAGCTGTAATTGATTTAAAGATATATTTTGTATTTTTCTACAATTTTATCCGGATTGTGCATTACGGTCGAGGAACTGCAGTCTGTGGAAGTGGTTACCACAGAGCTACCACTGGGAGCCTGTTAAGTGATGCCTCGGTCCATCCAGGAGGGGGCAGCACTTTGCCAATTGTCCTGAAACCGATTACTTTTCATCACGTGACCATCAAAGCAAGTATTTTTCTATTCTCAGAGCTGCCAATGAGCCAACTTGAGCTGCGAAACAATTTTAAGCAGGCAGTGTTTTGGTACAATGCGGGCTGAGACCATCCACTTATTGCCCTTGAGAACTCAGTTTAATCACCAAGAGGCTGCTTGGATTCGGACCCAAGATCTCAGCGGTGCCAGCTCAGCGCTACAACCTCCGCGCCACCCGGCCCCCTCGGCTGTGAGGCTGGAATCTAAACCCGGTGGCTATGAGATGTTAACTACCTCGCCGGGTATACAGGTCGTTGGTTCGATCCCGACCTTGAAAACTGTTGCATATTTGGAGTTCGCACCTTCTCCCCGTGATCACATCAACCTCTCTCTGGGTCCTCCAGATTTTCCCTCCATATTTAGAATCATATTGTCTCAAGTATTTGGCTGCTAGAATTTTCCACGTTGTTGGGGAGTGTTAAGGACGCCATGGTGGCTTGGAGATGTTAACGACCTCGCCTTGTATACAGGAGGTCGTAAGTTTGATCCCGACCCTGACGCCTGCTGCTGTATATTTGGAGTGTGCGTGTGTCTCTCTCCCTGTGGTCACATGGATCTCTCTCCGGGTCCCTCGGTTTTTTCCCTCCACATTTACAAAACACGAATTTAGAGTATTTGGCTACTATATATTTCCACACGATATGCCACTTCGTTGAGCCATCATTTGTCGCCAGGTCACTTACCTGGTAAGATAAAACAGTTTAGTTTAAACTAGTTTTATTATGGATAACGAAGTAGATCTACATTTCATAGAAACATTCATCATTGATCTAAAAGGGTCACAACCTCTGGACTTTCCGGATCAAAATGACCCAACAGTGTTTTAAGGTGTGCAAACCCTTTACCGCTTTCGACCTTTAGGGTCTGATCAGCAGTCAGGCTTATTAAGTCAGCCACATACCCCCCTTGCCCTCTACCTCTGTAGAATAATGTACGGCAGCGCTACAACGGAGGTACAAATCTTAACTTTAAACTTTCATGACTGCAGGAATTAATATTCTTTGGGTCTTTGGGAAAAAGTCACGTAGATAGGTTCAAATAAAATAACAAAAAAACTACGACGTTTCGATTGCAACACAAGCGGTCGTCATCAGGAAAAAGGGGGTTAGCTTCTAAAGGCAAACTGTTTAGAAAGGATAGGTTTTCCCCTTTTTTCATGTTTTGCCAGGTTGCTTCTGAAAAATAACTATATAGCCGAGTGGGCCTTACCTGGTAAAATAAAATAGTAGTCGTAGTACTGCATCCCAAGCCGCATAACAAGACGAAGGCAGCAATCACAGTACGGAAAATTATTGAAGAAAAAAAATCAAAACAAATATATACAAGTATAATCAAAACAAATAAAGGTGAAGAAAAAGGGGACAACGAGTGGTAGTGGTGGCTACGCTGCCGCACGTGGCTGCTGCCTGTGATCTAGCATTGCAGAGGCAGCAGCAAAGGGTTGGTCGATCACCGCACACATTAGATGATGCGAGACTCCCTTCACAGTTGGCGTCGTGGAGGTGCCGTAGCCCTGGCTCGCCAGGAGAAGGCGGTACACCAAGTGGACACTAATCGCCATCTGTTTCCATAGAGCTGAGTGGGCCCTACCTGGTAAAATAACAAATTTTGTTTAGTTTAGATCGAGTCTGACCAATAGACCGACTAACGCCGGAATTTATTCTTCCGGGGAAATCTTCATTCAAGGCACAAGTTTCGGCGCAGAAGGCGAGTCAAGATTTCTGGGCACGCGAGCGTAGTTCTGCGAGCGGCCGAAGGAGACAATCGCACTGGCAGAGGAGCGGCTGCTGGAGGAGGAATATTGTGACTTCAACTCGGCCTGGTGGCAGGAAATGATAAACTACGCCACTCTCAAGGTAGCAGGGGAAAAGAAAAAAAAAAAACCAGGATCTCATCAGCAATGTCGGCTCAGTGGCTTTGACACGGGCCTGGTAGAGCCCCCGCGGGGCCACCGTGCCCACCTGGACTTTTTGATGGTACGCTTCAGCTTCCGCTCCAGCTGATTCATGTGCACCTATGGTCACACTGTAGCGCTCCGCAGTCTGCTTGTGCACCAGCTCGCTCCTGCCTTTGTCTTGCTCGGCCTTCATCACCTGCAGGCACATCATCGTCACCACCACCATCATCATCGTCAGCATCAGCATCGTCATGACCATCATCATCGCCATTATCATCTTTATCATCTTTGTCATCACCATTGTTACCACCACCATCATTGTCACCACCATCATCATCATCAACGTCGTCATCATCATTGTCATCATCAGCATCGTCATCGTGATCACCATCGTCATCACTGTCATCACCACCATTGTTATTGTCTTCGTTGCCGTCAACGTTATCACCATTGTTACAATCGCCAAGATCGTCGTCGTCGTCATCACCGGTGCACAAACTGCGAGACCATGTTAAGAGACCCACTGAGACAACGAGTGCCATCCGTGGTGGGCGCCAGCATGGTCCAACCTCAGCTGCGGAACATTCTCCCTCATTTCCCTTCCCGCAGGAGCGAGAGGGCTGGAACGCCGCTGTGAGTAGGCAGCGGCGGGATAGCACGATCCCAGGGATTTAAACATACCATGCGCAGATATTAACTGCCTCGCCTGATATGCAGGAATTCATGGGTTCAATCCCATGACCTCCTGCATACCCCCACCGGCCCAGCCAACCACAGCCCAGGTCCCCCACCGGCCCAGTCAACCACCGCCCAGGTCCCACAAGGACCCAGTCAACCACCGCCTAGGTCCCACAAGGACCCAGTCAACCACCGCCCGGGTCCCACAAGGACCCAGTCAACCACCGCCCAGGTCCCCCACCGGCCCAGCCAACCACCACCCAGGTCCCACAAGGACCCAGTCAACCACCTCCCAGGTCCCACAAGGACCCAGTAAACCACAGCCCGGGTCCCACACCGACCCAGTCAACCACCGCCCAGGTCCCACAAGGACCCAGTAAACCACAGCCCAGGTCCCCCACCGGCCCAGTCAACCACCGCCCAGGTCCCACAAGGACCCAGCCAACCACCGCCCAGGTCCCCCACCGGCCCAGCCAACCACAGCCCGGGTCCCTCACTGGCCCAGCCAACCTCAACCCAGGTCCCCTACTGGCCCAGTTAACCACTGCAACCGCCACGAGCAACAGCGGTCACTCAAACCACATCGTCTACCGTGAGCACGAGTTCAAACCTGACTCGGGGTGGTACTGAGAGCCACGTGACTTCAGTCACGATGGAAATAACATTTTGTACCTTAAAATGGATTCCCCCCCCCTAATGGGTGCCACATGCCAACTGCACTCGGAAAAAACGCGTAATCGTGCCAACTGGCCAAGTGCAGAGTGTTGCCGGGGAAAAATCACTCGTGTTGGAGCATTCAACCGGAGAGAAAATGCGGGCGCCAGCGCCAGTGTGAAGGGGCCAAGTGCCACCTGGCAAGGAGGGGGCCACTTGGCGCGAAGGCAGCAGTTGATGCCATGCAACGGTGGGGTTAGCCCCAACCGTACTAACGCGCAGTCGCTAATACTGGCTCGGAACCAGCTGTGGTGTTGAGCACTGCCTAACACCTTGACAGCGACATTGTAAACTCCACTCTGAAGAGGAGCCGTTATATTCTTGTGTACGTGACCGTGGCAGGGATATCGTTCAGGAGCTCGATTGCAATGTTGACGTCCTGCTGCTGCTATGACGAGAGGGCTTCAGGACAGAGTGGTTTATTATCTTGGTCCACCGTTTTGGTTGTGTGGCAACAGTCTTCATCGCATCTCTATGGACCTCTATCCCTCTCTCTCTCTCTCAATTTCTGCTTGCAACTGGAAGTCTATCTCAGGAGCTAGACGGCCCCAATGTGGAGGTCTTCTGCTGTTGTTGGCCACAACGAGAGGGCTTCAGCAGAAAGAGAGAGTTTGAGTCGTTTTGCCATTCCTCCTCCCCCTGCGTTGAAGGAGTGCAAGGCCAAAGTGGGTTTACTGTGCGGTCCGTAGCTTGGGTTGCATGGCCACAGTCACACTCCTGTGGCGTGTCTATAATGTATCTCTACAAGTCTCTGTATATCTATGAGTCATGATGCATGAAAGTCTGTCTTCTACGCAGGGAAATATGGTTCAGGAGCTCGATGGGTCTGCTGCTGGCCACGACGGGAGGGCTTCAGCAGAGAGAGTTTGTGTCGTTTTGTCGTTCCTCCACCTCCTGCGTTGACCACAGCGGGTTTACTGTGCGGTCCGTAGTCTGGCATGGCCACAGTCGCACTGCTGTGGCTCATGTTTCATTTTCAATCAGGTTGCTGCTGCTCCAAATGTCTTGACGGTTTTATTCACCATTAATACAAATTAATTGGGTTAGGGCAAAAACATGTCGCTTGTACGAAGGTATGACGACCTCTGCAACGTTGGTCACGCGGAATGCCTTCATTTCGATACATTTCCGTAAATATGCAAATTTGAACCGGTCTAAACCAGTTTATTTTTACACCAAAAACATTCAACCAGCATCGAAACTTAAAACAAAATGTTTGAACCGTAACTGGTTTGAGCAGCCGAAACCGCACCCGATAACGAACGGCTCGACTCCCCCGGCAGTCCGAACTCCACTCGCTAGCATCACCACCTGGGCTCTCTCTTGCCGCGGATCCCCAGAAGCGGCAGACTGGGTGAGCATTCAAAATAGCGCTGGGGGAACAACAGCAACCCGACGTTGAGAACGTCGGCGTGAACTTCGCACTCAGCAGAGAGCCCGGCTGAAATCTGATCGGCGCTGAGCTCCTAAGGCATGTTTAATCCTCGCGTCAATGTATTAAAAGGCGACGACATTCTGCAACGTCTCGGTCCAAGTACCGAGGTGCAGACGGTCCTCAGGGCGCTCGCACGCATGCCGCCACCTCGCCGAGGAGTTGTTTCCCTCCCTCTCCTGATGCGCTGGAGATCGCGAGTTCTGATCCTGGATATGGTGTATATATTTGGAGTTTGCGTGTTCTTTCTCGCGTGTATTTTTCTGCGGGTCTCCTCCGGTTTTTCCCTCCACATTTAGAAACGTGCGCTTAGATTATTTGGCTGATATGAATTCCGACGTGTGATGATGATAAGCCACTTTGATGATAAGCTATATCATCACGTGTGGCCAGGTTGCCTCTAAGAAAGGGCTAATAGATCAGTGGGCTTCACCTGATGAATGATAATAATGATGATGAAAAATTAAGAACAGGTTTAACCCTTTCTGGCAATAAAACAGAAGGAGTTAAGATGTTCAAACAACAAAATAAGATACTTTTTGCAAGGCATCAAATCTGCGTTAATCACACTTACTTGTAGCAAAACATGCATTGTCTTTGAAACTGATTGGCCTACACCAGAGACAGCCTTCATTTATGGCATAGTCTCACCACTAGTGTTAGGTCGGCGAACACCAAAAGGGGAACACTGCAAAGGCAATGCAAGTATCAAAGTATTAATAGCTCGGGTTGAGCAGTTATATCGATGGGATCTTTTTGCCAGCATGGAAATTATTTTAACAATAATCCATTTTAGATTAGTTTCTCGTGTACGGCTGCGCGCAATGGGGTGCTGCCGTTGCTCGGTCATGCGGGGCCCCCGGCTCTTGCCGTATTTTTCCGCTCTCTCTCTCTCCAGCTCGAGCCGACCACCGGGACAGATGCAACGTGGCACCGTGCCACTGACATCCGGCGTGCATTAGCCCCACGCCAAGCACACACCGCACCACCGCACAGGCACGCATGCATCCGTTACACTCCGGCGCACTCACCAGGCTCATCCCATGGACAACGCACGTGCAACCCGTTTTGGCAATCCACTCTCTGGATCGCAAGGTTCCCAACTTGCATGCTCCATGCTTTATAAAGATATCATCAGCACTACTATTATAGTTTTCCCAACTGCACCAATAAAGTTCACTGACAGATGAGTGCTCGTGCTGCAAACTGGATGGAATATCATACGCATTTGAATATTCGCCACGGTGGCGAGATATTAATTACCTCGCCTAATATATAGGAGGTCGTGAGTTCAATCCCAACTCCAACCTATAGATTAGGAGTTTGCATGTCTCCCTCTCCGTGATCACGTGGAATTTTCTCCGGGTCTTCCAGGTTTTTCCCTCCACATTTATAATCAACATGCTGTCTAGAATATTTGGCTCCTATAATTTTCCATGTGATAAGCCACTTTGTTGAGCTATTATTTGTGGCCAGGTCACTTCTTAAAAAGAGCTATATATCTCAGGAGGCCTTTAACTGATAAAATAAAAAATAACAGGTGAGACTTATTAACGGTTTACAGCAAACGAAAAAATATTATGATGCTCACATGCAGGGCCTTCATACTCGTCAAGTCTCACGGCTTAACCCTTGAGGCTCGCAGTTATTCACAATGTTGAGCGTCCCCCCGCCAGCTGCTGGGGCCGATGGTTCAGGTCTCATGTCAGCAGGCGTCAGGGTCGGGATCGAACCCACGGCCTCCTGCATAGCAGGTGAGATAGTCAACATCTCCGGGCCACCGCGGCACGCCTCACACCCCTTACACAGTACACATCCACCTGTCCGTCCGTCCATCCGTCACCGCACTTGAGTAAAGTCCATCGTACAGGGACGAGTAATGGATAATTTTGACTGGACCCACACTGGCAGCACATGAACTCACACTGGCAACATTAAAACAACAAAAAACCCAAAATCTGCTTCAAAAGGAAAGGCACTCGCTTCCCTCTGAGCAAATAGCACAAATGGCATCGCCAGCACCGACGTCACGGTCCCGCACACATCCTGCCGGAGAAAACGGCGTCCACTTGCACTCACGCCTGCCAGCGCAAACTGTCCTCCCTCTAACCCCCCCCCCCCCGTCCGCAGCCACCGTGACAAGGAGTTCCCCATTATAACCTGGCACCTCAGTGCCCCATGCACGAAGTTAGGAAATATAAATATGACAAAGTCCTCCAGAGTCCACTGTGGGACGTGTAGGTCAGGCAAAACAGGTGAGTCTTTAGAGAAGACCGACACGAGGTGAGTTGAGCTCGCCTGCCTAACCGTTGGGGGGGATAGCATTCCATCGCAGTCTTGGTGCAGGGCACCCAAAGAGCATTCCATCGCAGTCTTGGTGCAGCGTACCCAAAGGGCATTCCAGTCTAGTCTTGGTGCAGGGCACCCAAAGGGCATTCCAGTCTAGTCTTGGTGCAGGGCACCCAAAGGGCATTCCAGTCTAGTCTTGGTGCAGCGTACCCAAAGGGCATTCCACTCTCGTCTTGGTGCAGCGTACCCAAAGGGCATTCCACCATAGTCTTGGCGCAGGGCACCCAAAGGGCATTCCACCATAGTCTTGGCGCAGGGCACCTAAAGGCTCAGTCACCCAAGGTGCAGAGACGAGTTGCCGGCACACGGAGTGGATGTAAAACCGGCGGATCGGAGAGAGGCCGCGACGGTGTGTGCTGGTATATCGTTCATTTGAATGCAAAATGGTGCGAGGCCGGTTCAAGGCAATTCTACGTGAGCAGCAATACTTTAAATTGTACCCTGAAGTTTAGTATGGCGAGTGCCTACTGAGGTTGTTGGTGCGGCACACGGGAAAGTGGCGTGGCCCCATCTCCACTTTGCCGGCGGTCTCCCCGGCGATCGCCGTTGACCGGACCACACGACGTTCTCATTCAAGGGTGAGTCACCCCAGCAGACGGCAAAGCCGGACCAAATCCCGAGACATTCTCCACACGTGCCGTGCACATGGTAACATTCTATCGTACTTCTTGCATGACAGCATTAAGCCATTACTGTTTGTTATTTTACGCTTGCTTACTCAGGAATGCCTCACTCTCGCGCCCTCTTCTCACCTGAGACTCTTTTCGGGAGGGTTCCTGTCAAGTGTGTGCAGGAGGGAGGGCGGCGATACGAACTACTATTTTTTATTTTACCAGGTAAGGCCCACTGAGTTCTATAGCTCTTTTTTCAGAAGTGACCTGGTGATCACAAATGATACCTCAACGAAGTGGCTTATCACGTGGAAATTCAGAGCAGCCAAATACTCTAAACCAGTGGTTCTTAACCTGGGGGTGCGAGATGCCCTTTCTGGAGATGCGACACATGGCCGGATTTTTTCGAAGGTAAATCATCGAAAACACAAGTTAAGCACGGGCGCGTAAGTACAAATACTTTGTTTCATCAAACCCTATTTATTTATTAACATATTTTTTTTATGATTGAGAACCAAAGGGGTGCAAGGCTGCAGTATAGGTTAAGAACAACTGCTCTAAATGCACGTTGATTCTAAATGTAATGGTAAAAACCGGAGGTCCCGGAGAGAAATCCAAGCAACCACGGGTAGAACATGCGAACTCCAAATATACAGGCATCAGGATCGGCATCGAACCCACGACCTTCAAAGTATTTATTTTGCATTGGGACGTTTGGCCCGTACAAGTGACGTAATTGATTTAATTTGTAATCAAGTCTGAACCCTTTGTTTTCGTGCATTTCTCTTACGAGTCGAGTCCACTACGACTGCTGTAGGAGGAAACCGGGGCAGCCCAGAGGAAATCCACGCAGAACAGGGGAGGGAGAACACATTAAAAAAGACAAAGTCCCCCCTGTAGCCTGAACAGACTGTTGGGGCAAATGCTGTTAGTGTGCATGGTACACGAGGGGGTGGGTACACGAGGGGGTGGGTACACAGCACCATGCCGGACCACCTTTGTCTCCCCAGTGGCGATGTTTACACATCGCACCAGGTATTAATATGAGGCTGAGTCGACCTAGGGGGGGCACAGGACCGGTTCAGATAACCGTCATCGGTGTTGGCCGTGAGCGGGAATCGAACTCGGGTGGACGTGTTCGTAGCGCAGCGTGCTAACCGCTACACTACCTAAATAACTCCACACACACAAAAGGGGTGCGCGTCCCTGTCTCGAATTGAACCCAGGCAGTTCTTGCTGCGTGAGGCAGAGAGAGCGCGAACCACTGCGTTGCCACAGAGCCGCCGCCAGCTGCCCTGCCAACGGCGTAATGTTTGCCAAATGTGTTTTTTTTTGTCGGTGCCAAAATATTTATTCGAGCAGGGAGCGTGCAAGTCCAAAAACAAGCACCCCCCTTCCGTGTCTCAAACAGCGGCAACAGTGTTTGGGGCCACGCGGGTCGGGAATGCAAAAAATGTGTTTTGCTCAAACAGTGGATTAAAATGTGCATAGCAATTAAATAAATATATCACCCACCTTTGGCAAGGTCATTTAACAGAGCCAGCCTACGAAGCATTGAGTTCCGTAAAACAGAAGTTGCATTCGCCTATGACATGAGAAATGCACGCTTTTTATCTTTGATAAAACAAACAGGACCGCTGATGGATGGATAATCGGAGAAAAAAGACTCGCGAGAAATATTGACTGTATTTGTCCTGAACTCATTTTTATCCCTCGACACTGACAGCCCATGGAGCACACCACTCGTGCGTGCGAGCGTGGCCGCTGCGACACACGAGGGTTCTAGCCCGAGGTCATGCATCCCAAAGCACCGTGGCGTTTTGCAAGCTTTACATATAACACACGGCCGTGCAAACGAATAAAACTAAACATGAAAAAAGAGGTCACCGGTTAAAGGCGCGGCCCTGCACAAAAACCTCTCGCTCACGTCCGCTGCTGATGGACGGGCCTTCGCCAGAGGGAGCTCTAGCGAGGCCATTCTGGAGGCCCCCCCACTTGAAGTAATTGGGGCCTACTCTTAAACGCCAGCCAAACACCTTGGAAGAGATTGCAGCAGCCACACTTTGCCCCACGGTACGAGACCTGCCAATCGACTTCCTACACTCACGTAAAAGTGCAAGCGGGACCATTGTCACGGACGTACGTGTATGGAATGTCAACTGAAATCGTGTGTTTTATTTATTTACAGAACGAGAGGCCTTTTGCAGTACCATAGCCAGGAATCTAGTTGAGGTTGTGGGTTCGATCTCGACCCCTACGCCTGTATATTTGGGGTTTGCGTGTCTCTGTCCCCGTGGTCGCGTGGATTTTTCTCCAGGACCTCCGGTTTTCCCCCCCATATTTAGAATTAGCGTGCACTTACAGTATTTGGCTGCTGCTCTAAATTTCCACGTGATTATAAGCCACTATCATTTGCAATGGCCAGGACACTTCTGAAATAGAGTCATGTAGTTCAGTGGGGCCTTACCCTGGTAACATTAAAACAATAGTAAAGAAATATAGTTCCCTTGGCGATAAAACAAAACATTTGACACATCTGTTCCGCCGCATCTGTTCCGCCGTTTCCTTTTCCACCCCCGCTGCTACCTTGAGAGTGGCGTGGTTCAGCATTTCCTGCCAGGCTGAGTCGAAGTGACGATCTTCCTGCTCCAGCAGCCGCTCCTCTGCCAGCGCGATCGTCTCCTTGGCTGCTCGCAGGACCTCGCTCGCACGCTGGAAATCCTGAGTTGCCTTCTGCGCCGAAACTTGTGCCTTGAAAGGAGATGTCCCCCGGAAAAATGAATTCCGGTGTTAGTCGGTCCGTCGATCAGACTTGATCTAAACTAAACTTGTTATTTTACCAGGTAAGGCTCACTGAGCTATAATGCTCTTTTTAGAAGCAAGCTGGCCACCACAAATGATAGCTCAACGAGTGCCTTTACGGCTTCTTGTCTTTAGTTTGTTGTCTTTCCCCCCCGGACCTCCAATTAGCACGGGTTGGCTACGTGCGGTGCACAAGAAGTGCAGCATACAAACATCGCGTGGAAATCTATTGCAACCAAATACTCGGAACGCGTGACGTCGATTCTAAATGTGGAGGGAAAACCCTGAGAACCCGGAGAAAAATCCACGTTCCCCCTCTCCCACTCACCGTCAATCTTTTTCTCACTCGATGTAATCTTGAACGCGCTAACTCACGTCTCTGCGACGAGCATGCTGCTCATGCTCTCTCGTTTCTGTTTATTTTAATTTGGCCGTTATAAATGTCTATGTGATGATGATGAGCCACTTCATTGAACTATCATTTGTGATGGCCAGGTGGTTTCTGAAAAATAAGATAATAGCTCATCCTTGCCTGGTAAAATAAATATTTGACTTGTTTACCTTTCTTATACTTTGCACTCCTATCGTGTTGTTGGTACTCTTTGTTGTTGTAACTTGCTAATGTGCCTATACTGGACATCTGTGAACAAGAGCTTTATAGATTCCTCTCCTCCAGTCTCAATAAAGATTCTGATTCTGAAGGACTAGAAGCTGTATCGTTCATGAATATAATCTCAACACGTGTAAATAATAATAATGATATCCTTGTATGTGTGTTGAACTTCTTTCACACCGTACGTAGCCAACCGTGTCAATTGGAGGTGCAGAATGTGACAATCTTTTTGGGTGGTGGAGGGCTTAGTGAAAAAACATTTGACACAAGAGTGCAGCCAAGTGGCCTAACCTCCAAAAATAAACACGGATCAGAAATTTGTCAGAAGAAATCCGAACACAGATTAGCAACAAACGACTGCGCTGGGCCCCTTGTGTCCGCTGCCATTTTTCAGTTCAACCAAAATGCAGTCCCTCTGCGAAAGTGTAAAGTCGCATTTGAAAAATCAGTGATTCAATCCGTGAAATGGTTGCCACCCAGTGATTCAATATTCCACTGCAGCCGAAAGTTACTCCTGCGATTTAAGACAGTAAATGCAGTTAGGTTCAAGTTGGATTTGTTTAACAAGGTGAGAACTCAAGAGACCAGGATAAGTCTCATTTGCAAGTGACCTGAGGTATGAGTCTCTGCCAGTGGTGTTGGGGGGAGGGGCGATGTTTGGTGATGTATGTTGATGTTCTTTCGCACATTACATAGCCAACCGTGATAATCAGAGGTGCGGTATTTGTAAGTAAGTTTAACTTCTTTCACACTGTACATAGCCAACCGTGATAATCAGAGGTGCGGTATTTGTATGAATGTTGAACTTCTTTCGCACCATACGTAGCCAACTGTGCTAATCGGAGGTGCGAATTGTAGAATCCCAATTGAGCAATTTGTGGATATATTTAGGATTTCACAAATGTAGTCCTGACGCCTGACTGAGCCGAACGACGCCAGGTGATCTTTACCGTCCACCAGGGGTGAACGCAGAGAGCGCATGGCATCATCATGGTCATGACACAACCACAGTAATAACCAGGGTGGCCGCCGGAAGTGAATAGTGACACCACTGCAAGAAGCGGGAATAGAGCGAGGGAGCGTGCCACCATCGCCGGGCCGCGTCGTTATGGTACAGAGATGGGGAGACGTTGCCGGGTCGGCTCCTACCTGCCGCGCCGCTCGCCTCGCCTCCCAGTACGGCTTGGACTCCTCCACAGACTTCCCGAGCTTCTTGAGAAACTCGTCCAGCTTGGCCGTCGCCTCCGCCAACACCACCCGGAACCGGCTGCGAGCCTCCTGTGAGAGCCACGCCCCAGCATACACGTGCGAGTGGCCGTGCTCCAGGGCGCTCCACACATTGGGACGCGCGTTCTCTGCGCCCTGTCCCTCTGTGCCCTGTCCCTCTGTGCCCGAGCAGTGTCAATAAAGTTACACCAACCTGGCCTCAAGGGAGAATATGCAACTCGAAATATATAGCAATGCATCAGGGTCAGGATCGAACCCACTACCTCCTCCATACCAGGCGAGGGAGTTAACATCTCGCCACCGGCGGTGCCCCTGAGGATAGATTGAGCCCGAGGATAGAGTGAGGGAAACAAGTATTTGATCCCCTGCTGATTTTGTACGTTTGCCCACTGACAAAGAAATGATCAGTCTATAATTTTAATGGTAGGTTTATTTGAACAGTGAGAGACAGAATAACAACAACAAAAATCCAAAAAAACGCATGTCAAAAATGTTATAAATTGATTTGCATTTTAATGAGGGAAATAAGTATTTGACCCCTTCTCAATCAGAAAGATTTCTGGCTCCCAGGTGTCTTTTATACAGGTAACGAGCTGAGATTAGGAACACACTCTTAAAGGGAGTGCTCCTAATCTCAGCTTGTTACCTGTATAAAAGACACCTGTTCACAGAAGCAATCAATCAGATTCCAAACTCTCCACCACGGCCAAGACCAAAGAGCTCACCAAGGATGTCAGGGACAAGATTGTAGACCTACACAAGGCTGGAATGGGCTACAAGACCATCGCCAAGCAGCTTGGTGAGAAGGTGACAACAGTTGGTGCGATTATTCGCAAATGGAAGAAACACAAAAGAATTGTCAATCTCCCTCAGCCTGGGGCTCCATGCAAGATCTCACCTCGTGGAGTTGCAATGATCATGAGAATGGTGAGGAATCAGCCCAGAACTACACGGGAGGATGTTGTCAATGATCTCAAGGCAGCTGGGACCATAGTCACCAAGAAAACAGTTGGTAACACACTACCCCGTGAAGGACTAAAATCCTGCAGCGCCCGCAAGGTCCCCCTGCTCAAGAAAGCACATATACATGCCCGTCTGAAGTTTGCCAATGAACATTTGAATGATTCAGAGGACAACTGGGTGAAAGTGTTGTGGTCAGATGAGACCTAAATGGAGCTCTTTGGCATCAACTGAACTCGCCGTGTTTGGAGGAGGAGGAATGCTGCCTATGACCCCAAGAACACCATCCCCACCGTCAAACATGGAGGTGGAAACATTATGCTTTGGGGGTGTTTTTCTGCTAAGGGGACAGGACAACTTCACCGCATCAAAGGGACGATGGACGGGGCCATGTACCGTCAAATCTTGGGTGAGAACCTCCTTCCCTCAGCCAGAGCATTGAAAATGGGTCGTGGATGGGTATTCCAGCATGACAATGACCCAAAAACACACGGCCAAGGCAACAAAGGAGTGGTTCAAGAAGAAGCACATTAAGGTCCTGGAGTGGCCTAGCCAGTCTCCAGACCTTAATCCCATAGAAAATCTGTGGAGGGAGCTGAAGGTTCGAGTTGCCAAACGTCAGCCTCGAAACCTTAATGACTTGGAGAAGATCTGCAAAGAGGAGTGGGACAAAATCCCTCCTGAGATGTGTGCAAACCTGGTGGCCAGCTACAAGAAACGTCTGACCTCTGTGATTGCCAACAAGGGTTTTGCCACCAAGTACTAAGTCATGTTTTGCAGAGGGGTCAAATACTTATTTCCCTCATTAAAATGCAAATCAATTTATACAATTTTTGACATGCGTTTTTCTGGATTTTGTTGTTGTTATTCTGTCTCTCACTGTTCAAACAAACCTACCATTAAAATTATAGACCGATACTTTCTTTGTCAGTGGGCAAACATACAAAATCAGCAGGGGATCAAATACTTTTTTCCCTCACTGTAGATATTAACACGAATCGACGCGATGCTACAAAACCTTGCTGTCGGTGATCGAGAGCTCTTTTGCACAAAACATAGATCTCGGGGATATTTCAAGGGGATTCTGCAAGCGAAGTTGAACAAATTACAATTTTGTGGAGTCTTTGGTTTGCCCAGAGAAACCCTGGGGCGTGCAAGACAAGAATGCTCTTTTGAGATGTTATCACCAATTAATTTCCAAGAAGCAAAGGGGACTTCCTATCTGGAAAAAAACCCTGCAGAGCCAGGAGGGCCTAATGGCAGGAAAAGCGTCACCGCAAGTCGACACACAACTACTGCTCCGGCGTGACCGCTCAACTACAGTGAGTGGTGGCTTTCGTTTCCTTTGGAGTAAAAAAATTATAATTTAACAAAAATTACGTGTTGTTATATTTTTGATGAAAGCAAAAATATGTTTCTGTTAAATTAACAAAAAATATTTTTGAAAGATTTTAATTTGAAAAACTTGTTTGGGTTTGCTAGACCTGGCCCAAGTTTTTTTTGTGTACGGGATTAACAAGTTCTGTTAATTACAGTGCGGTGGCTCAAAGTAAGATTGCCGTTCAAATGTCAGGCTAGAGTTAATGCACACACCACAAGTTAGCATTCTGGATTATACAGCGCTTGTAGAAATTAATCATTACTACAGGTTGATGTGGTATTTTTACCTCTCATAAAAATGCTTTTTACTCAGTGTCAAAATCAAGAGGGGTAATTTCCAGGGAGACCAAAACCTCATCTGCTGGAGTGCTGGTCCAAGGTTAGTGTTTCGGTTGTAACTTGTAACCGCCATGACTCTACCTCTTGGGCTTCTCCATTTGCTGTGAAGAAGGTCAATTGCCCAAATCATCACCTGTTCTATACTTTTTATGTTAAGGCCACAGTGAGATATTGACGAATGTGCGCCAATATCAGACAAGCCGAAGCTGCGATGAAGGCCATTGCAACCCAAACTATGGACCGTATCGTAAACCCACTGTGCTCTCCACTCCTTCAATGGATGAGGAAGAGCAAAACGACAGGAACTCTCTCTCTGCTGCTGAAGCCCTCTTGTCATGGCTATCAGACCCTCAGACATTGCCAACTAGCCCCTGAACGCATCGCTTACCATCGTAGCAAGAATGTAATTGATTCAATGTGTTGAGTTTATTTATTTCTCTCTCCTGCCAGGGGCCAGTTTCATAAAGAAACTACTTTACAACAATCATTGTCACTGACGGGAGAGATGAGTTCCCTTGAGGGGTCTGATGCGATTGGCCAGGGGCCCGAAACGATGTCACCAAGCCCAGCGGAACCGTTGTTACCTCGAGTTCCGTTTCGAGGCGGTTGATGGCGTCAGTCGACTGGTTCAGTTTTTCCAACTCGATCTGCGAGCAGCGGGGAACGGCAAAAAGCCCCACGAGTCAGTCAGTATACGTGTATGTGAAATACAGCAGCGGAAACGTGGCACAGCATCCAATAATACAGGACACCGAGTCCTCACGCCACACAGGCAGTATGTACATTGAATTTCTTTTGCACCATACATAGCCAACCGTGCTAAGCGGAGGTGTGCGCTAACCACTACACTACCGCTCCCCTTGCAGGCGTAAGTAACTTCTGGGAGGTGTTGAATAAGTGGAACTGTCTTCACAGTGGCTTCGTGTTGTTGTTCTAATAGTCGTTTTTGTGGTTTTTGTTAAAATAGCTGTTTCATAAGCCATTAATGTACTCGCCACAGCAAATGATTTTTAAGCAAACATCAGTGAGTAGATTATTAATAATACACCCAATAGACATGGAAAGTCGGGGGAGACGTTGGGACAAGGTTCGGCCAACATTGGCTCAATGGTTCTGACGTTGGCTCGACGTCGCCTGTTTACTGGCTTGGCTGTAAACATAACGGCAAAGTAGAGGATTTTAAAAAGCGAAAAGAGAGATCGTGAGCGAATCTGCTTGTTGCTACACACCACACATGCACACTGCTCGTGTTACACGTAAAATACATCGCATTAAATACAAATTGTCACTATTACTCATTCTGTGTACAGTGCCATTGGAAGTAACCCACACCGAGAAAAAATTTTTTTGAAACGGATGCAGTGAACCCAAACCATACGCCCACCAAAGACAAAGATCCCCCGTGTCGCCTTACCAGACTGATGGGGCAAGTGATGTTAGCGCATATGAAGGCCGGCACGGCACACGAGGGGGTGGGCGGCCAGCACCACGCCCGGCCGCCTTTGTCTCCCGATCGGCGATGTTGAGACACCGCACCAGGTACTCATTTGAAGCGGAGTCTACCTAGAGCAAGGCCCCAGGACTGACTCAGATACTCGTCACTGGTGTTGGCCGTGAGCGGGGTCGCCGGGTTCGTAGTGCAGCGTGCTAACCCCCACACTACCGCTCCCCACATGCACCCACCATCACTCGCGGGAGGACACACACCACGAACACCGCGTGGATCAACAATTCAATTGTGTATGATCACAATTGAATAGCAACAACACATTTCTGTGGAACTACTCCGATGCTATGATGCTACAGTTTGACGGAATAAGTTAAAATGTCTCGGGCGTAAATAGAGAGTGTCAGAAGGCGAGTATACCAAAACGAACAGTTTTATTGTTATTCGAGATACGAACATGAATTTTACGTGAATATATGCATTCGACTTACACGATTTAGCTTGTTGTGAATGTTGATTGGTACTTGAGAACCGCCACTTCCTGATATCATGACAATTCCGCCCGTTCACCCGACTTAACACCGTAAGATTTTCAACTCTGGGTTTTTGTTTAAAGTAAAGTCTCCACGAGAAAACCAATGGGGCCTTGAGGAACGCAAAGGTCGTATCGTCGATGATTTCCACAGCTGTGTTGGGAAAATGTTTTCTCAAGTTTGAACGCCGAATAAGATCGATAGGGAATCATGGGCCACGTCAAAGTTTAACCACAATTCTAGAATTTCGAATTAATAGCATAACACTTTAAATGAACTAAAACTTAAAAGTACATAACATTTATTCATATTAAATTAATAACAATACAACTATACAACACTCGTTTTGGTATGCTCGTTTCCGGACACCCCGTACACATGCATTGCACGAATTAAAATGTGGGTTGGAACAGTACGCATTGTACTCTATAATTATAGACACCAATCTTGATTTGAAGTTTTCGTGACTGCAGGGACCCATACTTTTTGGTTCTTTCGGTAAAGTCACGTAGGTATAAAATATAATACATTAAATCACGACGTTTCGGGCGCAACACAAGCGTCTGTCATCAGGTGGGACAACCACAGCAATAAACAATTGTTGAAGTGGGCAAAAGGACACCACAACAGTGCTCACTCACTCTGCGTCCACAATGATATGGGTAATGAATGTGCATAGTGCACGTCTGATTGCTGTACAATACATATGCTCTCTGTATAGAAACCCGGTTTGTTCTAGAATCGGCCCATCACCTGCTTTGAGGTCGAAAAAGTATTGTACAGTATTGGTTTGCGGATAAGTCAACAGTGGCCGTTCTAATGAAGGAATGATCCCGCTGCCATGGGAATGTGGAATTTCCACCAAATGGGCGATGTTTGTGGGAGGCATCTGTCCTGAAACACCACGCAGCAAAGTAGAACTGAACGAACCACGCGCTTGTTGATGAGACTCAGAGAAGTGGAAACCTTTCCATAGTTTCCTGTTTATCCATCATGCTTGCGTAAAATATTGGGTGATAAACCCGAACGGCCGGCGGACATAAATGCTTAGTCTACACAGCATCGCACGCGTGTGTTCATACATTTGTAGGTCGACTCAGCCTCAAATGAGTACCTGGTGCGGAGTGTAAACAATTCCACTGGGGAGACAAAGGCGGCCGGGCGTGGTGCTGGCCACCCATCCCTCTCGTGTGCCGTACCGGCTTTTACCGGCTCGCGAACAGCCCTTGCCCCGACAGTCTGTCAAGGCTACACGGGTGGTGGTGGTGTTGTCTCTTTGTCTTTGTGATCACCTGCACGCGCGGGTCCACGCCCTCGTCCTCCTCCTCCCGGTGGCCACCGCTGGGGTCGCGCTGTCCATCCCCAAGCCGCTCCTCCTCCTCCTCCTGCGAGCTCCGAGGCCCCGGTTCGTCGCGGGGTCGTGGCGAGGGCACGCCGGGGGCCTGGGCAGCCCTGCCCGCAGTGTCTCCCACGCCCGCCATGGCAGCAGCAGCAGCAGCGGCGGCAGCACCTCGCCGTCTCCTCCCTCTCTCTCTCCTCCTCCTCCTCGTCTCGTCCAACAACAGGGCGGACTGATCGTCCACTCACTACGCGATAGATGGATGGCCCCGAGCAGCTGCTGTCAGAGTAAACAGCTGCCCGGCACGGCTCGGCGAAGGCAATGAATTGTCGGTCGCATCACGGCAGTGGTCGCCGTCTCCCCCCCTGCGGGACTGACCCTGCCCAGTCGCGACAGCGGCAGTCCGCGTCGCGCACTCAACAGCCCGAGCCCGTCCGCTGTTCACGATGACCCACCAACACCAACTACACCACCAACTACACCACCCACCAACCCCACCAACTACGACTACCACCTTACCACCCCGCTGTTGCCAATCGTCGTGGGGCCGACCGCCACTCTGATCGGTTCGTTCCAAGTCGCCACTAGGGGGGGTGGGGATGGAGAGAGAAGAGGGGGGGGGGAGAGAAGAGGGGGGGGGGAGAGAAGGGGGGGGGGATGGCGAAAGAAGAGGGGGGGGATGATGAGAGAAGAGGGGGGGGGATGGAGAGAGAAGAGGGGGGGGGGATGGTGAGAGAAGAGGGGGGGGGATGGAGAGAGAAGAGGGGGGGATGGCGAAAGAAGAGGGGGGGGGGGTGGTGAGAGAAGAGGGGGGGGGGTGAGATAAGGGGGGGGGGTGAGAGAAGGGGGGGGGGGATGGTGAGAGAAGAGGGGGGGGGGGTGAGAGAAAGGGGTGGGGATGGTGAGAGAAGAGGGGGGGAGAGAAGGGAGTGGGGATGGTGAGAGAAGGGGGGGGGGATGGTGAAAGAAGAGGGGGGGGATGGTGAAAGAAGAGGGGGGGGGGATGGTGAGAGAAGAGGGGGGGGGGTGAGAGAAGGGGGTGGGGATGGTGAGAGAAGGGGGGGGGGGGTGAGAGAAGGGGGGGGGGGTGAGAGAAGGGGTGGTGGGGATGGTGACAGAAGGGGAGGGGGAGAAGGGGGGTCACGAACGCTGAGGCTGCGAAATTTTCAGACAAAGCGAGCGAACGAACTCCGCCTCCATCACGTCCACACACAAAGACTAAGATCCCCCGTGTAGCCTGCGTTGGGGCAAGTGCTGTTGGCGAGTACCTACGAAGGCCGGAACGGTACACGAGGGGGTGGGGTGGCCAGAACCACGCCCGGCCGCCTTTGTGTCCCCAGTGGCGATGTTTTTACACACGGCACCAGGTACGCATTTGAGTCTGAGTCGACCTAGGGGAGACCCAGGACTGACCTAGATTATCGCCACTGACGTTGGCCGTGAGTGGGAATTGAACTCGCGTCGCCGGGTTCGTAGCGCGGCGCGCTCACCGCTACACTACCGCTCCCCAGGACCGCACACAGTAACACACACACACAGTAACATACACACAGTTACACACATACACAGTAACACAGTAACATACAGTAACACACACAGTAACACAACAACCGCCATTCGCCACTAAGTGGCGGTGACGTCACCACGACGCTTGTGCCAGGCCATGTGCACCTTGAGGCCACGTGAAGTGTCGAACGCCCGCTGGCAGGAGGTCACGGGGCAGACCCAGGTGCCACGGGTCGACTGACCGAGATGACCGAGATGACTGGCTGATGCACCACCTGTGCCCCCTACTGTGCCAACTTGCTGTGCTTTAGCCACCTGGCGCTCCGCTCGCTGTTGTGAGCGTCGCTCCTCCGCCCTCCGTTGTTGTTGGAGGGTGACTGCCTCCAACTGCCCAGTAGCGTCCTTCACGAGCCTCCTCCACAGAGGCCGATCTTGACACTGCTGGTACCAGTCATCGGCAAGTCCACTCAGCTCCACATCCTCCTGTACCACATCACTCCATCTCTTCTCTAGCCCGTGCCGCGCCCATTTAGCCCCCTCGATCCGGCCGAATAAAAGCTGTTTAGGCATGCGGTGGCTGGGCATGCGGGCTACATGACCCAGCCAATGCAGCCTTGCCTGCCGGAGGAGCTCACTGATGGGACTTTGCCCAGATCTTTCAAGGATTTATGAGCTCCTCACACAATCCAGCCTGGTTAAACCCAGGATGGATCGTAGGCAGGCCAGCCTAAATGTTTCCAACCGGCGAATATGCTCCATTAGGGGGGTCCACGTTTCTCAAGCGTAGAGAAGGGAGGGAATGACTGTGGCCGAGAAGACCTGAAGCTTCGTGCGGAGCGACAGACCAGGTAGCTTCCACACAGCGTTACACAACCGATGAAAATATATTGCTGCTCGACTGATTCGGAGTGAGACCTCTGCTGTTAAACTGGAGCTGGTCATAAGCACACTGTCCAGGTATGGGAAACTCTCCACTCTCTCCACTACTGCCCCATCACCGATTGGGAGTTGTGGGGGTGGAGTGTCCGATAGTACAAAATACCCAGGCAGGTGCTTAGTTTTGGTGGGGCTGATGGTAAGGCCCCACCTCTTACTGGCAAGCTCCGGTCTCAGCAGCAGCGTCTCCAACTCCTCTTCTGAATGAGCAGCTATTACCAAATCATCGGCATACATAACGTGGTTGACCAATAGGGAGCCATCCCTTGATCGCACCCGGGCATCGATCAGCCTCCCATTATATCTGTACCAAATGGAAATTCCCCCGGTACAGCTATTGAAGGCTTCACGAACTACGTGGTCAAAATAGATGTTAAATAATATGGGAGCCAGAGGACATCCCTGTCGCACCCCAAGGTGTATGGGGAATGGCTCTGACTCCCGACCACGTCGTTTTACCCGGGCCCGTTCACCATCATGAAGGTCCTTAATGATCGTGAGCAGAGGGTCAGGGACTCCGAAAGCACGAAGAACAACCCAGAGCCCATGCCTACTGATGGTATCATAGGCCTTGACCAGGTCAATAAAGCAGAGATGTAGGTCTTGTTGGAATTCCTTATACCTCTGCTGTAGCAGACGGACAGAAAATATGGCATCTGTAGAGGACCGCCCTTTCCTGAAACCACATTGGGGCCCTGCAAGCCTCTCCTCAGTGTGCCAAGCAAGGAAATGTTGAATAATCCTTGCCAGGACCTTTCCCGGCACACTGAGGAGTGAGATGCCCCTGTAGTTGTTACAGTCTGTGCGGTCCCCCTTCTTAAAAAGGGGGACCACCAGGGCGTCCTTCCAATCCTGCGGAACCCGTCCAGTGGTCTAGACTGTTGTTATGATGTCATGTAGGGCAGTCTGTGCACAAACGCCACCCTCCCTCAGCATTTCGCTTGGGAGATCATCTCTGCCTGGTGCCTTTCCTGGTCTCAGACTCTGGATCGCCTTCAGTACTTCCTCAACAGATGGCACCTCAGCCAGCCACTCACAGGGGGTGACTTCTTCCAATATTTGAGGCACTGCAGCCTCAGCAGGGTCATCCTCACTTTGTACCACGATGTTTTCCTGGCTGAGGGATTTCCCTTCCCCCAGGACCTCACAGAAATGCTCAGCAAATCTGCATACCTGTTCCTGGGGGTCGGAGATTGGATCACCGTTTTTTCCCCTAATGATAGTAATAGGTGTGGCACTGCATGTTACTTTTTTGATGGAGTTAAAAAGGGATTTGTGATCGCGGGCCACTGAGGCAGACTTCATCTCCTCAGCAACCCGCGACCACCACCCATCCTTGCAGCGCCTCACGGCTCTCCGAACCTCCGAGCGAAGGCTGCGGTAAGCCTCCTCATTCTCTGACGTGGGATGCTGTAGACGATTAGAGTGGGCCTGTCGCTTTTTCTCAACCATCCTGAACACCTCCTCTGTCAGCCAGGGTCTCTGGGGAGGTCTGGACCACGTACCCAAAGCAGCCATTGCAGCTGCATGAGTCACAGTCCTAAACCTCGCCCATTTACCCTCAACATCAGGAGGAGTGGGGGACGATGCCAACCCCAGCTACAAGCGATGATGAAATTCTCGCTTGCAACTTCCATCAGCTAGCTGAGACCAGGCCACCTTAGGTTGGAATGGGGTCCTGGGTGTACACCCACCACCGGAGTGGAAGAATGGCAGGCGCATCTTACAGATGACAAGTCGATGGTCAGAGGGCAGATCAGCTCCACGGTAGGTCCTGGTGTTAAGGACATGGGCTCGTATCCGCTGGTCCGTCACTACGTAGTCCAGCAGATGTTCTTGCTTGGACCCGGCATGCATCCATGATGTTGTGTGGATGCGCCGATGCCGGAACAGCGTGTTGGTAATTACAAGCCCATGGGCTGCACAAAAATCTAGCAGCCTCCTACCGTTATTATTGAGCTGATCTGGCCCATGCCTTCCAATCACTCCACACCAGGTGCCAGCAACATGACCAACTCGGGCATTGAAATCACCCACCAAGATGACTCTATCCCGAGGGGCCACTTTAGCCAGCACCTGTGACAGGAGGTCATATAAAGCATCTGACTCATCGGCCTTGCCTGCATCCCTCCACGGATGTTCGTCGTCGGTGGGGGCATAAGTAACCAACGACCACCACTCCTCGCCTCCGGTTGATGGGAAGGCGAGCCCAAAGTAGCCTGGGGCTTACAGCTTCCCACACCTCACCGCCACGCTCCCACGCCCCCTTCATTCTTTTGTTCAGAAGAAGAGCCACACCCTGTTGTTTGGCAGTCTCCTGCCCCGAGTAGAGGATTGTCCAACCCTTATGGTAGCAGGAGCCAGAGCCGGTCCGCCGGACCTACTGAATGCCACAGAGATCTAGGCCTTGCCTGCATCCTTGCCTGCATCCCTCCACGGATGTTCGTCTTCGGTGGGGGCATAAGTAACCACGACCACCACTCCTCGCCTCCGGTTGATGGGAAGGCGAGCCCAAAGTAGCCTGGGGCTTACAGCTTCCCACACATCACTGCCACGCTCCCACGCCCCCTTCATTCTTTTGTTCAGAAGAAGAGCCACACCCTGTTGTTTGGCAGTCTCCTGCCCCGAGTAGAGGACTGTCCACCCCTCATGGTGGCAGGATCCAGAGCCGGTCCACCGGACCTCCTGAATGCCACAGAGATCTAGGCGGTACCGGTCCAGCTCCCGACAAAGGAGTGGCAGCCTCTCCTCCGCAGTGAGCATTCGAACATTCCACGTGGCCATCCGAAGTGGCTTTTCGTTGTTTCTGGTGGAGCCCCGAGGGTAAAGATTCGATCTCCTGGCTCCGCCAAATGGGGTTTGGCCAGGAGACGTCATAGATGCCTGTCCCCCCGGGGCCTCCGGCACAAGCTTATTAGTTACATATTTCATTCGTGGTTTAGTGGTAATTTATTGAAGGTGGAGGGATTACCAGCCCCTCGCACCCGTCCAGAGCCCCCATTTAGCCACTGTGGTGGTCAGAGACGCCATGAAGGGAGAGGCCAATCGGAATTGGCCCTTCCCCCACGGCACTGCCCACGACAGCGTTGCCCGTCCAGCACCGCGAGGAGGTAGGGGATTGTAACACACACAGA